TAATAGGCTTAAGCTGGCTGTAGCATATTACCAATGATGAATATGGGAAATGGCACCAATCCTTTACTTAAAGGCTATAAGTATGAGATCACAGAACCATTATAGCCTTTAAGTAAAGGATTCAAGGTCCTGATCTTGAAGTGTGAAGAGCACCATTCTAGGTACTGAGATACATTTGAATAAAATACAGTCCTCCTGGAGCCCACAGGGAGATAAGGCACATATACATGTAATTATAATATACAATAGTATACAACAAAGGCATTGAATAGTGTTATATAAAGTGCACAAGTTTAAAAGCTGTTAATGAGGGTCAGGGTTCAGGGAAGGCTTCATAGAAGAAATGGCATTTGAGTTAGGTTTTAAAGGATACGAAGCGAATTCGATAGGCAAAGACAGAAAAAGTTATGTTGTGTCCAAGGAATAATGAATTGAATTATGGTTCAAGTGTGGAAGACAAAGAGGGAAATAACATGAAAAAATTGCTAGTTTATGGGAAACAAACAAAACTCTGAGAACAGACGACACACACTGTCAATATTATAGTACAGTAGAGGATATTACTTTTTATTCTTGGACCTGGAAGTCTCCATGCTGTCAAGCAGATACCAGAGAGAGTGAAAGGAGACGGAGAAAGTCAAAATTGTCTAAAAAAAAATTTTTTTTTTGCTACATAAGAAGCCTGACTAATAGGTATCATTTTCTGAGCTATCAGAAATTTCTACTTCTTTTGATACTTTAGCTCTTTTGTGGATCTCAAGGTCATAAGCTCAGCAGGGGCCAGGTTCCAGCTTTTTTTTTTTTTTTACAGTTACACAACCGTTGCTCATAATCCTCTCTGTCCTAAACCCCTTGAGTAATTAGAGCTCTGAGCTCATTGTGTCTAACCTGTCTAGAAATAAATGGATGCTACTGCCAACGTCCACTGTACTCTCAGTCTTTAGAGACCTGTTCAGAAGAGGTACATATCCAATTCCCAGATCAAAAGTCAGCAAAAGGAAGCTGACCTGCAAAAAAAATGCACCAAGTCCTTCTCCCTTCTCTCCCTGGAAACAGAAGCGCACATATTCTTGCATTAAGTATACCTGATTGCTTGTCTTCAGCAGATTGGAATTTTAATGATGTAAACAGTTTCAGATGTTTACTAAATATGTTTCTTCCTATTGTATAGTTTTTTTTAATTGTTTTAGAAGAGCAAAGGGCTAGTATTATTTGAAGTAACGTCATGTGGACAAGGGAGTAGACTGTTCCCTTTGCCGCAGGGGTTGGAAGTAACAGAGTCAAATGCTGAAAGGAAAATCTTCCTAACAGTTGTCTAAAGATGAAACTGGTTATCTCAGGAAGTAGTAGGTTTCCCCTCTCTAGAGGTCTTTATATGAAATGCTGAGTGACCACTTCTTTTTATTTTATTATTTTTTTATTTTTAACATGTGTTTTTAAAACTTTGGGTTACAAATTTTCTCCCTCCCATTTCTTCCCACCCACCCTCACTGAAAAGGAAGCATCTTGATATGGGTTATAGACGTGTAGTCATGCAAAACATTTCCATAGTAGTCCTGTTGTGAAAAACTAAGTATATTTCCCTTCATTCTATCCTACCCCCTATTTATTCTATTCTCTCTTTTGACCCTATCCCTCCTCAGAAGTGTTTGCTTTTGATTATCCTCTCCCCCAATCTGCCCTCCCCTTTATCAACCCCCTGCTCTCTTGTCCCCTTGCCCCCTTACTTTCCTGTAGGGTAAAACAGATTTCCATACCCCATTATGTATGTTATTCCCTCCTTAAGCCAAATCCTATGAGAATAATAAGATTCACTCATTCCCTCTCACCTTTCCCCATTTCTCCTCCACTGTAAAAGCCTTTTCTTGTCTGTTTCATGTGAGATACTTTACCTCATTCTACTTCTCCCTTTCTCCTTCTCCCAGTATAATCCTCTCTCACCCCTTAATTTTATTTTCCAGATATCACCCCTTCATGTTCAACTCACCCTGTGCCCTCTATCTATCTATACATACATATAAATTTTTTCCCTCCCACTACCCTAATACTGACAAAGGACTCATGAGTTATAAATATCATCTTTCCTTGCAGAAATGTAAACAGTTCAACCTTAATAAGTCTCTTATGATTTCTCTTTCCTGTTTACCTCTTCCATGTTTGAGTGACCACTTTTTAAAGTATATTGTTGAGAGGATTCTAGCTTATGAAATAGATGAGTCAAAGTCCCCTTGATCCTGAGATTCTGTGATAACATTATATGGGCATTTTAACAACTACCACAGAAGAAACAGCTCTCTTGGGGCGTTATCCATGGTTTTGTGATAGCACCTGTTTGGCCTTCTTTTCAGACCAACCTACAACCAGCTTAACTATATTTTTTTATGGCCTATTCTCCCCTTCGTATTGTGAACTTTGCTCTAGCCTGTGTGACATTGGCCTAGGGCCCTGCCTGATTTTGCATGGTTACTCAGCCTTGCATAGTTCCCAATTAACCAGCCTAGCTCTACTTTTCTTCCTTCCTTTTTTTTCTTTCCTTCTTAAATAATTTTTATTGACATTTTCTGCTTCTTATGCCATCATAATTACCTATCACTCCCTCTCCTCTTCCTCGAGAGTCATCATATATGACAGATAGTATTTTTAGAGAGGAAAAAAAAATCAGCACAAAGTATCAATGCGTTGAAATACCTAAAAAAAAAAGGGCAATGTGTAACATCTGTGGACTTTTCACCTCCACAAAAGGCTGGATTGGGAGTGTCTTCTCATATTTCTTCTAAATCCTGCTTGATCTTTATAATTTTGTTACAATTACTTTTAATTTTTTAGTGTGTATTTTTTCTTTTCATTTACATTGTTGTAGTTACTGTGTATATTGTTTTCTTCATTCTGCTTACTTCATTTTGAATCAGTTCATGTAGGTCTTTTCCATGCTCTTCTGTTTTCATCACATTCATCATTTCTTACAGCACAGTAATATTCTATTACATTTATGTATCACAATTTTTCTAGCCATTTCCCAATTGAGGGTCATCTACTTTGAAATCTTTAAAATCACAAAAAGGATTGCTATAAATATTTTGGTGTAATTGGGGACTCTCTTTTTATTGATAGCTTCCTTAGAATATAAAGCCAGAAACAAAGTCTCTGGTTCAAAGGATATGTACATTTTAGTCACTTTATTTGGCGGGCTTTCCAAATTGCTTTCCAAAATGGTTGAACAATTTCATATGTCAACCAACATCTTCCCACAACCCCTGCAACATGGTCTGTTGCCATTTTTGTTATTTTGCCACTTTCATCCCATTTTTTGAAAAACAAAAATACTTTTCTGTCCCCTTCCCCGTTGAAAAAAGAAAAACAAAACCCTTATAACAAATAAGCATAGTGAAGGAAAACAAATTCTTGCATTGGCCATGTCTAAAAAATATGTCTCCTTCTGCACCCATCCCTTTGTAAGGAGGTAGACAGCATGCTTTTCATTGGTCCTCTGGAAGCATGTTGGTCACTGCATTGCTCAGAGTTCTAAAGTCTATCAAAGTTGATTACAATGTTATTCTTACTGTATAAATTGTTCTTCTGGTTCTGCTAACTTTACTCTGCATCAGGTCATACAACTCTTCCCAGGTATCTCTGAAAACCTTCCCTTTCACAAATTCTTATGGCACAGTAGTATTTTATTACATTAATGGACTATAATTTGTTCAGTAATTCCCCAAATGATAGGTACCCATTCAGTTTCTAGTTTTTTGCCACTAGAAAAAGCTGATATGAATAATTATGCACGTGTGTGCCCATTTCTCTATCTTTGATCTCTTCGAGATATAGGCCTAATAATGGTAACCATTGGCGCAGTTTTCCAATGTACAATTAAAAGTACACAATAGCAAGCTAGGGATAATTCTCTTCATTAAAAGAATTGCCACAATACCACAATTCTGTGGGCCCACATACTTGCAGGAGAGATTGCTTTAACTGACACAAACTGGGAAAATAAAGAGAGGAGAAAGGGAGCCAGTTTTTTTTTTTCTGGTAACCCAAAAATTGCATACTAAGGTGATACCCATCTTCTGGAGAATTACCAAATAAATTGTGGTAAATGAATGTAATGGAATATTATTGCGCTCTAAGAAATTAGCATTTCTTCAGCTGTTCTGTTGTAGTCACTAACCATTTCCCTCTGGGACCTTAAGCAAGTCACTTAGCTGTCTTTAGGCCTCAGTTTCCTCACCTATAAAACAAAGGGCTGGATTATATCATCCCTAGGATGCCCTCCCCTCCCCCCCAGCCCCCCCACCTGTGATTTTACTAGTGTATTAAACTCCCAGTAAGGAAACTCTACTGATCAACAACGTTTGTTAAACACCTATATTCGAGGCCTTGAGTTAAATGACCAGGAAATAAACAAACAAAAAATAGTCCCTGCCCTCAAGGAGCTTCCAAACTAATAGGAAGACAACCTGGACTGCAAACGGAGATCCACAATTTCTCAGCAGTTTATAGGCTTAGGGAATTCTGTAAAGGACCAAGAAGTTAAGTGATTTGCTCAGGGTCTCTAAGCCAGTTAGTGTGTCTGGATAGGGACTTGAAGCCAGGTTTTGCTGACTCTGAGACCCAGTCTCTAACCACCACACACTGTCTACCACTCCAAAAAAAATTGCCTATGTCCTCTAAGTTTTGATTCAATCTTCAGCATCAAGAGAGCTTGTGTATAAAGCAAAAGCTAGAAACTGGACCAAGGAATCCCGGGGCTGCAGCCAAATCCATGCCTGTTTTTATTTTGAGGGTCCAGTTGAGCAATTTTATTGTTTTAAAGAAGAGTATCAAGTTTTCTATGACAAACTGCTGGTATGAGAACTGTTTTCCAAGTGCGCCTGACGCCGTATGTTGGCCCGGGGGCCCAGTGGAACGCGGAATAAGGGTCTGGCAGCGGTGCGCAGCAGATCTCTGTGCCTTTGCGTGATTTGCCATCATTATTCTGCGCAGATTAGATGACTCACAAATTCCCGTGACTCACGCTGCTTCTCTCCTCAGCCTGGGCGCCAACAAACGGAGGTGGTTCTCCCGAGATCCATCAGTACGATGGACAGGCTGTTGTCCCAATGCGCACCGCCTTCTCTCTGACTCAAGCTAGGGTTCAGACGCCTCCTTCCGCCGCTCCCAGGTGCTCATGGCCTAGTGCTGCGGTGTCGGACTTCGGTTCCCGCATCTCCTAGGCATAGGTCAGAGCGTTCCCCGGGTTCCCTTTAAGGTTCTAGCTCCCGTACCGGTTCAGCTGTCCCGAGAGGTGCCGTGCGCTCCTCTCCGCCCTCGCCCTCCTCCTGTGCGAAGGTTAGGGAGCACACAGGGGGCGGGCCGAGCTGCTGTGGGTAGGGGAGGGTGCGTCTTGCTTAGCTTGACAGCGGCAGGGGGCTACGGTTCTGCAAAGGGGAATTAGAAGCTGGAGGCGACCTACTCCCTAAAGGTGAGCTGAGTTCAGCAGAGCAGCTACCCACCTTCCCATCTTTCCCTCACACTGGGTGGGGGAACCTCCATTGAGAACGGTAGTCTAGATCCTTTTGCCTATCCTGCTGGCCCTTGGCATTCCAGTTCAGCCCTGGGGAAGGGGCTTATGGCGTTGGTGGGTGGAGGCGGGGCATATAGGTAGGAGCTGGGACCCTGGGCTGCATTCCAGGTCCTCCACCCTCTGTGAATACACTTGATCCCAGGCTGGGATGTGGAGGCAGAAGCAGGAGTGTTGTGCTGCTGAGTAGATACATTTGAGTCTTTTATGCGTCAGGCAGGAAACGAGGCAGTTTAGTTCACTTCGTGCTCTGGCCCTCGATGGAGGATACCAGCAAACGGCAAAAAAAGGTTTTGTGCTAGAAGCTGCTGGCAATGTGGGGTGCGACCTTTGCTATCGACCTGAAGCAGGGGGCCCTTATGGAGATGTCGTCGGATCTTAGATTAAGAGCTGGAAGGGGCCTGAGAGGCCTTCAGTCCCAAACTCTTCGTTTTACAGATGAGGAAACTGAGACTTAACACAGAGGTTAAGCCACTTAGCTAGTAAACGTCTGAGGTAGTATTTGAAACCAGTTTTTCCTGGCTCCAAATCCAGTGTCTGAGATGGGATTTGAAACTAGTTTAAAAAAAATTATTTGAAGTTTTGAGTTCCAAATTGTATCCCTCTTTCCTTGCCCTCCCCCTTCCCTGAGACGCAATCAGATATAGTTTATACAGGTACAATTATGTAAAACATTTCCACGCTAGTCATTTTGTATAAGAAGACACCAATAAAGGGGGAAAAAAAGGAAAGAAAGTGAAAAATAGCATGCTTCAGTCTGTATTTAAACAATATCAGTTCTTTCTCTGGAGGCGGATCCCTTGGGATTGCTGCTGAGAATAGCCAAGGCATTAACAATTCTTCATGGAACAATATTGCTGTTATTGTGTACAACGTTCTCCTGGTTCTGTTCATTTCACTATGCATCAGTAGATGTAAGTCTTTTCTGGCTTTTCTTAAATCATCCTACTCGTCATTTCTTATAGCAAAATGATATTCCCTTACAATTATATACCACAGCTTGTTTAGCCATTCCCCAGTTGATGGCTGTCCCTTTGATTTCCAATTCTTAGCCACCACAAAAAGAGCTGCTATATTTTTGTAGGAATGGGTCCTTTTCCCTTTTTTTTGGATGTCTTTGGGATATAGAGCTAGTATTGCTGGATCAAAAGGTATGCATAGTTTTATTTGGGCATAGTTCTAATTTGCTCTCTAGAATGGTTGGATCAGTTCACAATTCCACCAACAGTGTCCAGTGTCCCAGTTTTCCCACATTCCCTCCAACATCCAACATTTTTCTTTTTTTGTCATATTAGCCAGTCTGATAGGTGTGAGGTGGTACCTCACCCTCAGAGTTATTGTAATTTGCATTTCTCTAGTAAATAGTGATATAGAGCATTTTTTCATATGACTATAGATAGCTTTGATTTCTTTGTCTGAAAACTGCCTTTCATACCCTTTGACCATTTATCAATTGGGCAATGACTTGTATTTTTATGAATTTTGACTCATTTCTCTCTGTATATTTAAGAAATGAGGCCTTTGAGGTGGCTAGGTGGCATAGTACATAGGCCCTGGAGTCAGGAGGACCTGAGTTCAAATCTGGCCTTAAACACTTGACACTTCCTACCTATGTGACCCTGGGCAAGTCACTTAATCCCGATTGCCTCACCAAAAAAAAAAAAAAAAAAAAAAGAAATGAGGCTTTTATCAGAGATACTTGTTACAAAAATATTCCCCCAGTTTTCTGCTTTCCTTATAATTTTGGTTGCATTGGTTTTGTTTGTGTGAAAACTTGTTTAATTTTATATAATCAAAATGATCAAAATGATTACATTTTGTAATGTTCTCTGTATCTTCTTAGGTCCTGAATTCTTCCCTTACCCATAAATCTGCCAGATTAATTATTCCATGCTCTCTTAAATTGCTTATGGTATCAACCTTTATGTCTAAATCACTTGCCAGTTTTGACCTTATCTTGTTACGCCATATGAGATGTTGGTCTGTACCTAGTTTCTGCTATAATGTTTTCCAGTTTTCCCAGCAGTTTTTGTCATCTGAGTTTTTATTTCAAAAGCTTGAATCTTAGGGTTTATCATAAATTAGATTACTATATAATTTACTATAAAGTAATTTGTACCTAATCTATTCTGCTGATTTATCACTCTGTTTCTTAGCCAGTACCAGATTGTTTTGACAATTACTATTTTATAATACAGTTTGAGATCTGGTATGGCTAGGCCAACTTATTTTGTATTTTTTTTCATTGATTCTCTTGATATCCCTGAGCTTTTGTTCTTCCAGATGAATTTTGTTATTATTTTTTCTAGTTCTATAAAATTATTTTTTCATAGTTTGATTGGTATGGCACTGACTAAATAGATTAATTTAGGTAGAGTTGTCATTTTATTATCGTAGTTCAGCCTACCCCTGAGCAATTAATGTTTTTCCAGTTGTTTAGATCTGACTTTATTTGTGTGAAGTGTTTTATAGTTATGTTCATATAGTTCCTGGGTTTGTCTTGGCAGGTAGATTCCCAAGTATTTTATATTGTCTACAGTTATTTTAAATTAGATTTCTCTTTCTGTCTCTTGGTGCTGGACTTTGTTGGTAGCATATAGAAATGCTAATGATTTATGTGGTTTTATTTTGTATCCTGCAACTTTGCTAAAGTTGTTAGTAATTTCAGGTAGTTTTTTAGTTGATTCTCTGGCTTTTCATGTCCCCATTTGGAGTTTTCTTGGCAGGGTTTTGCCATTTCCTTCTGCAGCTCGTTTTACAGATGAGGAAAGCGAGGCAAATAGGGTTAAGTGACTTGCCCAGAGTTATAGAGCTAGTAAATGTCTGAGGCCAGATTTGAACTCAGATCTCCCTGATTCAAGGCCTGAGCATTCTATCCACTGTACCACCTTTTCTGTTAAGTCATTTTTCATGTCCAACTGTCATGACTACTTAGCTGCCCGAATGTGCAAGACTGGAGTCTTATAGAGATATTTGAAAATATTGTGACCACATTGATGCTGTTAAATGCACTTGGGGAATCAATGTCATCACCCAGAAGTTGCCTAAGAGAAAAACACTGAGGCACAGGTGCTAGTTAATATTATTTTTTTTTTTGCGAAAGAGAGGGAGAGAGAGAGAGAGAGAGAGAGAGAGAGAGATCTGAATATAAACTCAACTTGATATTTCTTTAGGGCTTCAGAAAAGCAACAAAATCAAGGAAATGTGAACTCTATTCTGATTGGTTTGCCATTTCCTTCCCCAGCTCTTATTTTACAGATAAAGACCTGAGGCAATTGGGGTTAAGTGACTTGCCCAAGGTCACACAGCTAGTAAATGCCTGAGGCTGGATTTGAACACAGGTTTTTCCTGACTCCAGACCTGGTGCCCTATCCCCAGCACCCTTCCTGCCCTTGGGACTTTGTGTACTTAACCTCTCATTTTCTATTCCCTCCCCCGGCAATTGAAATAACAAGCAGATTTTTTTTTTTTTTTAAGATTCTAGGTTCTGGAGAAACAAAATGAAAGTCCCTGTCCTGAAGGAGCTTATATTCCTCATAACCATTCAGTTACCAAATTATGTCAGTTCTCCTATGGTCAATAGCTCTAAATATACTCTTTCTCTTCTTCCACTGCTCCCATTCCAGTATCAGGGTCCCCATGATACCTACCTAAACTAGTACAGAAGCCTGTTACAGGTCTTCTCATCTCTTTTCCAGAGCCCTGACTCTCGCTTAAACCCTTCTCTAAGACACCATGATACAGAGGAAAGAAACTTGGATTTGGAGTCAGAGGTCTTAGTTTTGAATAGAAGAGAGGACCATGGTTCTTCTATTTATTAACTACCTTTCTGACTTTTGTCGGTTAATCAGTAAACATTTATTGAACATCTACTGTGGGCCAGGTACTGTGCTAAGTACCAGGCAGGTAAAGAAAGACAAAAGACAGTTCCTGTCTCAGGGAGCTCATTCTAATGGGGGATAGAACATGCAAACAGCTATGTATAAATGAAGTATATACAAGGTAAATTGAAGGCCATCTCTGGTCATCTTGATCTACATCTTGTCACTGGACCCAGGTGGCTCCAGAGGAGAAAGTGAGGCTGGTGACTTTTCACAGCCCTCCCTCACTTCAATGCAATTCACTTATATGTCATGGCATCCATCACCTCCCTGTTGTCAAGGTCCTCATCAAGGACAAAAGACAAATGACAAAGCAAGTTAGAAATAATCAACAGTGGGAGTGGAGTGGTATAGGAAAGGTTTCCTATGGAAAGTGGGATTTTAACTGGGACTTGAAGAAATCTAGGGAAGTCAGGAGGCAAGGAGAACATTCTATTTTTTTTTCATTTTTTTGTTTCTGTTTGACTGATTCTTGCTCTCTTATAGAGTCATTAGTTTCCATTTGTTCAATTCTAATTTTTAACATACTGTTTTCTTCTGTTAGATTTTTGTACTTCTCCAATTGGTCAATTGTATTTTTAAGGGATTTATTTTCTTCAGTGTACTTTTTTTCCAGTTGGCCAATTGTATTTTTAAGGGATTTGTTTTCTTCAGAGTACTTTTTTTCCAGTTGGCCAATTGTGGTTTTTAGGGACTTGTTTTCTTCAGTGTATTTTTTTTCCAGTTGGCCAGTTGTACTTTTTAAGGACTCTTCTACTTCTCTCATTTGACTTCTAAAATCCTTCTTGAGCTCCTCTAAGAAAGCTTTTTGGGCTTCAGACCAGTTCATATTCCCTTTTGATGCTGCAGATGTGGGTTTGATGACAATGTTGTCCTCTTCAGAATTTCTGTCTTGATCTTCACTCTTCTCATAATGTGAATCTATTGTACGTTTCTTTTTGCTCATGGTGTTTCCTTATTCTCTGGCCTTTAAAGAGGTTATGCTCTCTTGCTGGGTAGCAGAGGGCACTGACCCAAGCTTCTTGTGTTGGGAGCCTAGGTCTTGGTCACTGACTTTGTATGCTGGGGCCTCTTATGTTGGCAGTTGGAGGCTGTAGGGTTCTGGCAGCTTACTTGGTGTTGGGCTGGAGTCAGCAAGGCTGGGACTTTCAGGCATTCTAGGTTGCCCGCTTTTCCTTTCCTTTAGCTTTGTTCGACTCCTAATCCGGGTGCTTATCCGCCTGGGGCCTTTTGTAGTGCTGCTTCCCTTATTTTTGCTGAGGCACTGAGAGACCCGTTTGCTGTAGAATGCCGAGGTACTAGGATCTCCTCCTGGTGTGCTAAAGTGGGTCTTTCCACTAGCTGGCTGGGCGACTCCCGGTCCCTTCCCCGAGGGTAAGAGGGGCCCTTCCCGTTAATACCTCTTGCTACCTGGGCTACTGCACTGCTGTACCTCGTCTTTCTTCTGGTTCAGCTGTTTCAGGGTTTTTTCTGGGGTGATATTTTCTGGGTTTTCAGAGGTTGATAGGGGAGGGTGAGAGCGACTACCTTTTTACTACACCATCTTGGCTCCAAGGAGAGCATTCTAGGCATGGGGAACAGACAATGAAAATGTCAGAGTTGGAAGATGGAGTACCTTGTTCTAGGCATAGCAAGAAGGCCAGTGTCCCTAGTTTTCAGAATGAGGGATAAGGTATAAGAAGACAGAAAAGATAAGGCCCAGGTTATGAAGGGCTTTGAATGACATTTTTTTTTTATGTTTGATCTCTAAAATGATAGGGAGCCACTGGAATTTATTGAGTGTGTGTGGGGGGTGACATTCAGACCTTTGCTTTAGGAAGGTCACTTTGACAGCTGAGTGGAGGATGAACTCGGTGAGGAGAGGTTTGTGGCAGGGAGGCTGTCCAGCAAACTATTGCAGTAGTGCAGGCAATGAAGTAGTGAGGGCCTGTGCCAGGGCAGTGGCAGTGTCAGAGGAGAGAAGGGGGCATATTCAAGAGATGTTACAGAGGTAAAACTGACAGGCCTTGGCAACACATTGGACACATCTATGGGACGTCTAGTTCCAGATGTCCAGTGGGCAATTGGAAATGCAAGACTGGAGGTCAGCAGTGTTTGATTTTCTGTTTCTTCATCTGTAAAATGAAGGACCTGTAAGATCCTTTCTTGCTCCAAAGCCATCGCTCTGTGAAATCAGCAGAAATATACCGATATATGAATATACTATATAGAGGTAGTGTAAGTATTGTGGCAGTTCCTTATATTCTCTAATGTTGGCAGTTGTCCATTAAGAAATTAATTATTTTAAAAACTGGTATCAGAAATTCTTTTGAAAAAAATGTTGTACGTGACTAATGCAGAAATATGTTTAACATGATTGTGTATGTATAACCTGTATCAGATTGCTTGCCGTCTTGGGGAAGGGGAGGGGAGGAAGGGAGAAGATTTTGGAACTCAAAATCTTATAAAAAATGAATGTTAAAAACTATCTTTACATGTAATTGGAAAAAAATTAAATACTATTTACAAAAAAAAAAAACTGTAAAAAAAGTTGATTTGAGGGAGGAAAAAAAAAATGTTGTGAATGATTGTCTGATGAGGTCAAATACCACACAGAACTTTTCCGGAGGGGTGTTGCTGATCTTAAGTAAACGCTAACCTGGTGATAACAGTGATTCTTTTTCACTTTCTTATGCAGCCAAATAAGAGAAGAGCCCAGAGGCAAGCCTGAACATTACTACCATGGCTTCTGAACCTCCTCCTGAAAAACATGCTAAAACTCCACACTTACCCCTAGATAAACAGGTAAGGCTATTTACTGTGGGAAGTTAAACTACGACATCTAAGTGGAGGGCTTCAGTTAGAGACAGCTTTACAAAGTTCCATGCTTCTTTTTGCTTGTAGATTTGGCACCTTTTAAAAATTAATACAAGAAGAATTAAGAAGGAAAGACTTGAGAAGAAAATCCTCTTTTAAAATTGTTTTATGGTTTTTGAAATTTATTTTTTATTTACTCTGGCTCGTTTTTATTCAAGCCAGATGTGAAGATCGGCTGTTATTGTCCAACTAAGTTTATGTTTATGAAATACCTGCTATGTGCTGTGGACCCCGAGGATTCAAATTAAAAATGAAATAGTCCTTGTCTTCAGGGACCTGATTTCATAGCAGGGGTGGGGAGAACAACACTTATCATCAGTTGATAAATTATGTTTGTATTTCCTTTTGGAAGGTTAGGATAGCAGGGTCTTCCTTCAGGGAAATAAGTAAGCCATTTGGTTGAGAACAAGTGTTAACCCAGGCAGCACGCAAATGCACAGTGTAGATAAGACCCGACAGCTGGCCTCTGGGAGAGAGCCTAATAGCTCAGCGAGGTAACTGGGCAAAGGTTAAGGTGAATGAAGTTCACATCCAAGGTTTAGGTGAAACTTAAGAATTCAAGGGACGTGTCTAGAGGAGGGAAGTTGACAACCGGTTCCAGGCAAGAGGCCAGTCAATTCACACGTGGAAATAAGAATGTGAAGGGTTAAGTAGATAGCTGCCACTGTGAAACTGAGAGCTATAAAGCATTAATGGTTAGAAAGAAAAGGAGCACTTGCAGTCCTCCCAGGAGAGTTTGCAGGGACATGCAGCCTAAGAGCAGCGTTCCTACCAATTCAGAGACCCTGTTGAAGAAGATGTGCCAGCAAGCTCCCCCCACCTTGTTGCACTCAGCAGCAGGCTCCGGCTTGTGACTCCATGTCTATGCTCATGCTCAGGGATTAGTGTTTTGTGGAAGAGCCAGGAAACTCTGAGGTCAAAAACTGTCTTATTCCTCCCATGGCACCCATTCTTCTCCTTCCGTCTTCATCTCTAGCAAAGAACCAGATGGTCCAACGCTGGCCCTGTTTGGAAAGGAAGGAGAGGAACAGTTGGGGTAGATGGAAGGGCCAGCTTGAGATATGTATGGACCACTAAAGAATCCTAGGGCAGACTTGAGCCATAGTTGAGTGGCTCTTGTCTGAGGGCAGGGACCGCTTCATTTTTGTCTTCATATCCATATGCGTGTCCCATAATAGGAACTTAACGAATGTTTGTTTGTTGACCAGTCTCTCCCTGATCTAAACTTAACAGCTTCACAACTCAGTCTTTATTGAATCATTTGAATGAGGAGAAATCTGAGGGGAAGGAGACTATATTTAACAAAGTTGGGAGATTAGCCCAGAGGAGGAAATAGTGATAGGGTTATCCACCTTTCTATCAGACCTCTTAGAACAGAGACTGATGAGGGCCAGGAACTAGTGTATTGTCCCCAGTGCCATTTTTTGTTTTTAAGTTTGGAAGTGGTGAGCTGATGCTGTGATTTTTTATCAGCATGGAACAACTTCCATTAAGGAAAGTCACTCCACAGGGGCAGATAGCAACTACTCTAATGTGCAGTCTTAGTTGCTTGGGGTACTAAAATTGTGACTTTTCTGGTGGTGGTTATTAGAGCTTGGATTTGACACCAAGTCTTCCTGAGTCCAAAGCAAGATGGGAAAGATATTCTACAAGAAAAGATCTACCTGTTGCTAGACCCATAATTCCATCTGAGCAAGGCCCTTTGATATGAATAGCAGTAGAAATTCTACTCATGCTAACCCTAAGAATTCCCTAAAAGAGCTCATTCTTTAAGAGTCAGTCACATCTGACTCCAGGCACTGAAGTTATAGTCTGATATTGGCAGTTTTTCCGTCCTATAGATCTTGCTTTTTCACCTGAGCAGCTATTCGTGTTCAGGTCTTTACAATGATCCCTGAGTATGGCAAGCAGGCAAGGGTGTGCTGGTAAATATTTAACAACTGGCTTCCTGCCAAAAAACCATTTTTACCCCATGTGTACTTCTTGGGAAGGAGGCAATCCGGGTTAAGTGACTTTCCCAGGGTCACACAGCTAGTTAAGTGTCTGAAGCAGGATTTGAACTCAGGTCCTCCTGACTCCTGGGCTGGTGCTTTATCCACTGCACCATTCATTTTTAATTAATCTCTATTATTAACATTTTCTCCATCACTTTTTTGAGCGAAGAAAGTAACAAAACAACAAATCAAGCCCTGATATTTAGCATTTGCAGATTTCCAAGGTGTAAATGCTCATATTGAAAATTCATCAATAGGCTCTGAGCTGGTTCAAGCTGGCTCCAGCATACCCCTGCATGCAGATAATGATAATTTTTTTCAGTTTACTGGCCCTTGTCTGCAAGCAGGTGTAACATTTTGTTTCTCTTCAAACCAACAAACCCTGATACAGCTGGCTGTATCTCTTTTCACCCTAAATCCACAGCAGCACCTTAAACATCCTACATAACATACATCTTATAAATTGTAATTGCATTTTCAATGGAATGTGTCAGCTAGAATTCATTTCTCACTGGATACACCATAAAAATCACACCCATTACCATTTGAATCCCAGGGGACTTCTCATCCCCATTCATTCACCTCTTATCCTCTCAGACATCTTAGTTCAGCATATTTCTATAACTCTAAAGCCTTAGGGCTCCAAAAACAAGCTGTAGTCCCTCTTGGAGAGTCAGTATTGCTTCAGGCCACCCCTCTGCTGAGTTTCAGTTGTCCAACTGGATTGTACATAGGACTTTCCTTTATGCTTTTAGACTTATTTCATCAACTATTCCTGGCAGAGCCATAGCATTCCCAAGGTAGAAGATTCTGTGTGGGATAGTGACCTAAAAAAAAAACTCTTGGAGGTATCTCAAGGTAGGAACAGATAGTTTATTTCAATTCTCAAGAATTGGGTGTTCCTGCACCAGCATGATTTCTGATGAAGGAAGACAAATTACAGAAGCAGAAAGCCAGATTAAATAGCAGAAATGGGGAGAATTCCCCCTCCCACCAACTGTCCAATATTTGGCTTACAATCTATGCACGAAAATCTATTCCCAGAGACAGAGAACAAAGAAACAATATACATATCCATCACTTTAGTTTGCTGCAAAAACGAACAATTTAGAATATGCAATCAAGCTAGACACTGCTGTGGGAAGGTCACTGTGACCGGAATGTAGCAACAGAATACGGGGGATTTCAGGCTTGGCAATCTTTAACTACTGACTTAACACTGGGAGAAGGGGGAACTATAGAAATCTATACTTATCCTATTCTGCCTCATGAACTTATCTCCAAATTCAGGATAATCTTATCCCAAACCTTAATTACACTGAGAAGTCTTCATAGGGGCATCCCACTCAATTCTAAGGTGACAGAAAACAAGTCTCGGTGCTAATTGTCAATAAAAGCCTTTGGCAGACAAGACAGAAGATAGGGCCGACCTTGGAGCCAGGAAGACCTGGGTTCATGCCCAGGGTCTGACACATACTAGCTGTGTAACCCATGCAAGTCACTTAACCTCTTGGTGCCCCAGGCGATTCTAAGACTCAGAATGGATGCTGATACACATTGATAGAAGGAATTTCCTTACCAGAATTCCCTACTTATGACTTCTCTTGTAATAAGCAAGTGGGTCGTACTGCAATGAAATCACAAGTGTGATCCCAAAAAAATGCACAAACATCTGAATTTGAATAAATACCCCAATTTTGTTTTAAGTCTTTTTGTTTTTACATCAATCGTTTTCTAATATATCTTCCTCCCTGCCCTCCTCAGTGAACTTTCCCTAGTAACAGGAAAAAGGTTAAATAAAAAACTGACACGTCTACATCTGACAGCACATGGTAATGTTTCACACTTATGATCCCCTTACCTCCATAATGAAAGGCAGGAAATACCTTTACTCATCTCTTTTCTGGGGCCATGCTTGTTCATTATGAAGATAGTTTCAATTTATTGTTCCTTTATTTATGTTGTAGCTGTTGTACATGTTATTTCTCTGGTTCTGTGTACTTCAGTTGGTATCAGTTCACACAAGTCTTCTCATGCTTCCCTGCATATCTTATTTCCTTCATTTATTGTTTCTTATTGTTCAGTCATTTAGTTGTGTCTGATTCGCCGTGACCCCATGGACCATAGAGCTTCACCAACTAGTGTGCCTCTCCTTTCAGAGTTCCTTCACTATGAACTACTTCTGTCTTTTGTTCATGCAAAAGCTTTTCATATTTTTTTAACATAAATAATATGGTCTCCAATCTTTTTGTAAGCTTCAATATCCCTCATTTGGTTAAGAATTCTTCCCCTGAAGTAAAATGGATAATTTTGAATACATCAGATTAAAAAGGTTTTACACCAACAAAACAAATGCAGCCAAAATTAGAAGGAAAACAGGAAACTGGGAGGAAAATTATAGCAAGTTTCTCTGATAAAGGTCTTATTTCTCAACTATATAGGAAACTGAGTCAATATGATAAAAAATAAGAGCCTTTCTTCAGTTGACAAATGGTCAAAAGATGTGAACAGGTGGTTTTCAGAAGAAGAAATCAAAGGTATCAATGGTCACATTAAAAAATGCTCTAGGGGGCAGCTAGGTGGTGCAGTGGATAGAGCACTGGCCCTGGAGTCAGGAGGACCTGAGTTCAGATCCGGCTTCAGACACATAACATTTACTAGCTGTGAGACTCTGGGCAAGTCACTTAACCCCATTGCCTAGCCAAAAAAACAAAAAACAAAACAAAACAAAAAAACAAAAACAAAATGCTCCAAATCACTATTGATTAGAGAAATGCAAATTAAAACGACTCTGAAGTAAAACTCTTACCTCTCAGATTGGCTAGTATGATATAAAAGGAAAATGACAAATGTTGGAGAGGATGTGGAAAAATAGCGACACTAATGCACTGTTGGTGGAGTTGTGAACTGATTCAACCATTCTGGAGAACAATTTGGAACTATGCCCAAAGGGCTATAAAATTGTACATACCTTTTACTCAGCAATGCCACTACTAGGTCTATATGCCAAAGAGATCAAAGAAAAGGAGAAAGGACTTATTGTACAAAAATATTTAGAGCAGTTATTTTTGTGGTGGCAAAGAATTGGAAATTGAGGGGATGCCCATCAGTTGGTGAATGGCTGAACAATCTGTGCTATATGATTGTGGTGGAATACTATTGTGGTATGAAAAATGATGAGCAGGGTGCTTTCAGAAAAACCTGGGAAGTCTTATATGAACTGATGCAAAGTGAAATGAGCAGGACCAGGACAACAGTGTACACAGGAACAGCAATATTGTAAGATTGATCAACTGTGAAAGACTTAGCTACTCTGATGAAGACAATGATCCAAGACAGTTCTAAAGGACCCGTGATGAAAAATGCTATCCTCCTCCTGAAAGAGAACTGATTGATGAACTGTGAATACAGATTGAAGCATGTTTTGTTCACTTTCTTTATTTTTCTTGTTGTGTGTGTGTTTTCTTTAATATGTTTCAGATGATTTCCCATATATAATTGATATCATATTGCTTGCCTTCTCAAGGGGTAGGGAAGGATCAGGAGGGAGGAAGAGAATTTGGAACTCAAATTTTTTTTTAAAAAATGTTAAAATCTTAAAAATGTAATTGGGAAATATTTAACAAAATAAATAAAAATATTTTAAAAAAGAATACTCCTCAGCTTAGCAGTGAAAGGCACTTCTTTTCATTGACTTCTAATTTTGTCATCTTTGATAATGTGCAGGGTGTGGGGGTGAAACCTCAGAGATGTTTTGATTTGCATTTGCTCTCAGTGATTTGCCGTCTTTTATATGGCTTTTAGTAATTTTTGATTTTTATTTTGAGAGCTGTTTGTTCATATCCATCAATGACTTAATTATTGGGAAATAGCATAGATAGATGGATAGAGAGATAGATGATTTTAAAAGACAAAAACAAAAAGGAGATAGCTCTTGGTCTTTGATGGGATGATGTGGGACCTGTGATTTCATTGACAGGGAATTCCCAGTGAAGAAACTCCTTCTACTAATTCAGATCAGTACCTACTCTGCAAATTAGTGTTTAGAGAGTTGCCTGGGACACTGAGAGGTTAAGTGACTTGCCTAGGATCACGCAGACAGACTTGAATTCAAGTATCTTCAGCTTCAAAGTCAGCAAAGCCAGGTTGCTTTTCTATTAATAAAATTAATTATGTTAATTGCCTCCCTAATGTTGAGCTGTCCTTGCATCTCTAGTATAAATCCAATTTGGTCACAATGAATAATTTTTAGATATGTTGCTTGTAGTTTTTTCCCCTCATTTTTTCATTCAGACAGCCAGGTGGTACAGTGGGTAAAGCATTGGGCCTGGAGTCAGAAGTCTTGAATTCAAATCCAGCCTCAGACACTTACTAGCTGTATTACTCTAGGCAAGTCACTTAATCCTGTCTGCCTCAGTTTCCTCAACTGTAAAATAAGAATCAATATAGCACCTACCTCCCAGAGATGTTGAGGATCAAATTAGAATAATATTTGTAAAGTACTTGACACGTAGTGGGTGTTTAATAAATGCTTCTTCCTTTCTTTTCAGATCAGTAAATTGAATGTTCATTTCTCACCTTTTGTGCTATTTTGTAAAAATGAGAGATTTTCTCCTCAATTACTGTTAGGATCAGGCACCAAAATAGCTTGGTGAAATGGTTCCCCAATGTCTCCTCCAGAGAAACCATGTGAAATACTTTTCTGATGATTTCAGTAAACAAGCCACACAATTTTCTTTGCAGAGCCTGTTGTTTTGTCCCAAATCAAAGGTTCACCACATCCACCGAGGAGAGATCTCAAAGATCATCCGTGAGTGTAAAGAGGAGAGTTTCTGGAAGAGAGGTATTTCCAGAAGTTATTAAATCCTTTGTTAAAACCATGTTTGTTAGGTATTTATTGACAATGGTCCAAAAATTATGTTATAGCCTGAAAATTGTTTTAATATTGATAATTTTTTCCATTTTTAATAGTAAACTTATTTAAAAAAACAATAATGACAAAAAATTTCTGTGATTTTTCAGTGTTTTAAGGCTGCTTAAAATTTAAGATCTGAATTCCTTCAGAGTAGAACCACAGCTGTTTAACAGGATGCTTTCATTCTTATTACATGTCTTACTCAGTACTACCTTAAACACTTTCAATTCAAGAAAATTTATTGAGCAAGATACTGTTCAGAATGCTGAGGATGCCAAAGCATGAAGTAAGCAGCTTCTGCTTCAGGAGTAAAGGCTTTCGGGGAGAAAAATGGGCACATGACATAGAACATGCAAGTTTCTAGACTAGTCTTTTTTACAGATAAGTTCCTCCTTGGAGCGTGCTTACTGGAAAGGAGTTATATATACCATGGTAGCATTTTTATAAAATGGAGTCTTATTTATATTGTACTACTAAATTTTTTATCTAATACATGCATTCCAAAATCACATAACCTCTCTGGACCTAAGTTCCTTAATTTATAAAATAGATTTACATGGTACTTTGGGTTTGCATCATGTTTAACATAGATGTGATCTCATTTGATCCTCATGCCAGCCCTTGAAGTCTGGCACGCTCCTACTATGCCATTTAGCTAGCTGCCAAAAGGATGTTGGACCAGGTGCCATTCAGCTCTAAGTAGATGTCATTCGGCTCTCACTTTCCATGAATTGAAGAGAACTTGACTTTAAAATGGCCAACTCCACTTGGTCCTAGTGCACTCTGCTATCCTGATCTTGCACAATGCTAATGCCTTCACTCTGAGATCACATCCCGTTTATCATGTATGTATCTTGTAGTTATGTAGTTGTTTGCATGCTGCCTTCCTCCTTGTGAGTTCCTTGTAGTCAGGAATGTTTCTTTTGCCTTTCTTTGATTCCCCGATGCTTAGGATGGTGCCTGACACATAGTAAGCTCTTGATAAATGCTTGTTAACTTGATCTTACTTGCTTAGTGCTTGCCAATTTTGGCATACTTGGCCATTGTAGAAATGCCTCTGTTGACTCTCAGATCCCTCTGCATTCAACCTCAACTGTCTGGAAATTAGTCTAGTAGTTCCCATTTGTTTTGCTTCAGCATGACTTTTCGTTGTGCTCTTAGAAATTGATATCTGATCATTCCCCAAGAAACTTAGATGATTTTTTAAAAGTAATTTGTGGTGTCCTAGTAGGCTTATTGGAGAAGGAAATGGCAAACCACTCCAGTATCTTTGCCAAGAAAATGCCAGATGGGGTCACAAAGAGTCACACTTGACTGAAATGACTGAACAATAACTGAAGGCTAATACTTTTTCAGTATGACCCACTTACTGCTTATCAGTGAGCCATATAAGTACTGAATGAAAAAAAAAGTTGCTGTTGGATTTTTTTTTCAAGATTGCTAGGAAGAATTGCATTTGTCTCTGTGTTCTACTATATGTGAGAAGTCACTTTGACACTTAAGTTAAACAGAAATAGAACTTCTTGCCAGACAGAGTTACCCATCTCAAAAATCCTAAAATTCAAAACTAGTGTCAACTTTATTGATTCAGTATATGTGTGGCTATATGCTACATAGCACTTAGTACATGTGGGTGAGTAATACATGTAATCAGCAACTGGACTGCTTCCTAGCCCAGAAACTTATGAACTATGTACCCTCAACCAGAAGCTACAGTTAAGCCTGGGTACACTGAAGGTAAAAAAATAACCAGACAGGAGCTATTACTCTTTGTGCTATTAATGTTAAAAGGGAATAAACTCAGAGCAATTCTTACTAGTTTTTTCTAGGCAAGGTCTTCAGAATGTGGATTTCTGGGAAGGGAGACTTTTAAATTTTATTTGGGAGACTTAAATATCATTTACTTATTATTAAATATAAAATATTTTATTAAAATTCAAAATAAGTTCAGTTAAAGTTAATTGAATTAATTTGTCAAAATTGACATTGAAATATTAAATAAAATATTAAATGTTATTGAATATTATTTTATTTGAGAGACTTTTATTTTAGAGACTTCAAATATAGAGTTCTTTTATTCAGAAGTATCTTTGTTTTTGCAGCTCTCCCTTTGTCCTTGGTAGGGATGCTTGTTACTCAAGGACTTGTCCACAAAGGTATGATTTAAAATATTTGGTTCTTTAATTCTGGAGAGTCATTATGGTGTTTGTAAAGAGAAAGCTGACTTTATGGCCTGAAACACCTGAGTTTAAGTCCCTTCTCTGAAACATACTGTCTATATGACCCTGATCCTGGGCAAGTCATTTAACCTCAGTTCTCCCTAGGGACACTGTATTACTGTAAGTGGTAGAGGTGTTATCAACAGGCAATGATAGAGAAAGTTGCTCATAGGAAGCTCCCTGAACCTATGAAATTACAGATCCAGGCCCTATCCCTTTCCTTGTTTTGTTCTAAGTATTCCACTCTGTGTCTTCTGTATGAGTGGCAGCATTTTCCCTGCAGGCTTCACTTCTGAAGTGTGCTAAGGGTGAGAGCCCATTTTCCCTCTCGTCTTTCCTTCTCCTTCCTCTTCCCAAATGGTCCCTTAGATTAGGTGGGCTGCTTCAGTGTAGAACACCAAAAATGATGACAAGAAACCATTTTTTTTTTAACTAACCAAGTCACCTGTGTACTTTCCAGCAGCCTCAGTTACTTTGTTTACTTTGTACTCTACTGAAACAAATAAACTGAGCAACCTTAAAAAAATTCTAAATCTCTGTGACTATGGCTAATTTACTCTCCTTTGAATTAGAAGATGTTGCTAAACATTGCAGCTCCATTTGTGAAAGTTTTGTTTGTGTCCCATGGTGCCCATCTCTGGGCTAAGTGCCCCTTGCTGGTTCCTAAAACAGCTATTAAGGCATTCTGCTACTCTCCACCATTTACCACCCACTCCAACTCTTCTTCCATTTTTTTCCCTTGACATATATTTCCTTCTTCACCTTAGGTATTTACCTCCACAGGTGGCAGCTAAGGATAAAAGAACTGCTGATCCCTGTTTTAACTCATTTTATTAAACTTCACTTCTCAAAATGGGCTCCCACCTCCTGCAGTGACAATGGGAGAAAATGACCTGGTTCATTTTTTAAGACACCCATCGGGAATGATGGCAGCATATTATAATGTCTTCAAGAGGCCAAGTAAAACCCATAGTGTTGACTAAGCTACTTTAAGTCCTGTAAGGCCTTTGTGATAGCAATTAGGTATCCCCAGGTCTTGTACCAAGTACAGTTTAAATTAAGATACAGAATGCTTACTAAAAATGAGTCTGAACTATACAGGCTGGGTAGAGATGGGGGCTACATCTGTGATTTCATTAGTATGGGGAACTCCCTCTATTGACATAGGTTGACAGTATATAGTCTTAGAAAGCTCTCTAGAGCACAAGAGAAACTGAGTGACTTGCTCAGGGTCACACTGTCAGAGGCAGGATTTGTGTGGCTCTGAGACCCTGTGGCACTGGGCAACATATGGCACAAACAGCTTCTCTGTCCAGAAGTTCTTAACCTTTTTTGTGTCATGAGCCTCTTTGGCAATTTAGGTGAAACTTATGTACCCTTTCTCAGAAAAATGTTCTAAAATGCACAAAAAACTTATGATTCCAAAAGAAACTGATTATATTGAAATAAAAATGTAATTTCCCTGTCTAATTTGATAGAGGCCCTGAAATCTGTTCATGGATCCTTTGGGGGTCCATGGACCCTAGGTTAAGAACTTCTCTGCACTCCAAAATGATGCAGGCTGAGTATGTTGTGAAAATTCAGAACACTGGGGCAGCTAGGTGACGCAGTGGATAGAGCACCTGCCTTGAAATCAGGAGGACCTGAGTTCAAATTTGGCCTCAGACCAAACACTTGACACTTACTAGCTGTGTGACCCTGGGCAAGTCACTTAACCCCAATTGCCGAAAAAAAAAAATTCAAAACAGTCAGGGTGCCAGACTGGGAACTGTACGCTTTTGAACTCTGGGTCTTGGATTTGATTTTGTTTGCTGGCCTTAGATAAGGTCCTGAATTCTCTGCCTTGGATCTCAATTTGTTGCTCATTTAAATTGTTACAAACTTTGAGGTAGTGTTATTAATATATTAACCTCAATGAGTCATATCAGTGGTTTTTTTTTTACAGAAATGTGTAAGATTTTCAAAATGATTCTTTATAAAGAATGAATGTTCAAATTTTCTTGATTTTTTAAAATTTAAAATACTTGCAAAGTGAAATAATTTATCACTCTATATTGTTCTTTAGGTTATTTAGCATCAAACCCAAGATTTGGATCATTGCCGAAAGTGGCACGTAAGTCTTAAAAGCTGACTGAAAAAGGAGTCGGGAGTTAGGAGGGGGATCATCCATTAGTAAGCATTTATTAGGCACTTACTATGTTCCAGGACAGTGCTAATCTCTGGAGATACAAAGATAAACAAAAACCGGGTCCCTGCCTTCGAGAAGCTTATATTCTAATAGGGAAGACATGCAAATATTAATCATTTCAGAAGGAAGCAGCATGTTAGCCGTGACTGCTGTTCTTCCTGACCTAGTGGAAACAACTGGGAAATGCTTCCTAAAGTTGGTGGGATTTGAGCTGAGTCTTGAGGGAGCTGGGAGATGGAGGTGAAGAAGAAGAGCATTCCAGTCAGGGTCACAGGATAAATACAGGGGTGGGGAGCCTGTTGCCTCCAGGTCACATGTGGCCCTCTAGATCCTCAAGTGCAGCCCTTTGACTGAATCCAAACCAAAACAAATTTCCCTAATAAAAGGATTTGTTCTGTAAAACTTGGGACTCAGTCAAAGGGCTTAGAGGGCCACATGTGGCCTCGAGGCCACAGGTTCCCCACCCCTGGGATAGAGTGTTGTTCTGTGAGGCACCCCTAATAGGCCAATATAGATGGATAGTAGCATGTGTAGAAGTAAAGTCCAAGAAAATCGGAAAGATAGGAAGGGGCCAGGTTGTGAAGGGCTTTAAATGCCAAACAGAGAATTTTATATTTTGATTCTGGAGATAATGAAGCCACTGCAATTTATTGAATAGGGGTAGGGGGATGACCTCGTCATATCTAAAGGAATGTTGGAGACATCAGGTACATCGATAAGTACCCATAGAATAAATGCAAAGTAAATAGAAGTGTTGGGAAAGAACGCACAAGTAGTTGGTTGAATTGGGAAAGAAGGTGCTGCTTATGCCACATCTTGAAGGAAGTGAGCGATTCTATGAGGTGTAAGTGAGGAAGGAATGCATTATTGATATGAGGAAAAAGGATGAAGAAAAAAGTATTCATTAAACACTTACTATATGCCAGACACTAAGTTCTGGGGATACAAATCAAAGAAGCAAGATAGTCCTGCCTTCAGGGAGCTTACCTCTGAGGAATAGAGGAAGGACAGTTTGGCTGAGCAGTGGAATGCAGGATGCTCTTGAAAGCAGTTAGAAACCCTCAGCTGCCAAGTAAAGCAGAAGTACGTCACAGATCGTCCTCAGGCTCTGAAGGCTTCCTGTTTTTCTCATTATTGTCTAGTTAAAATGAAAAATTTCTGTTGCTGTCTAGTAGAAATGTGCATTTCCCTCCTTGTTGCCTTTACCCGTGCATTTAGTGGTTTCAGTAGTGTCCCAGGAGTAATAACAGCTATCATTTATGTAGTGCATACTATGTGCCAGGCACTGTGCTAAAGACTTTACAAATGTTATTTTGTATGATCCTCACAACAACACTGGCATCCCTGTTTTTATAGACAAAGAAACTGAGGCAGTCAGATGTTCAGTGACTTGCCCAGGGTCACATAGCTAGTGTCTGAGGTCAGATTTCAAGTCGGGCCTTCCTGATTCCAGGTCTGGTGCTCTGTATGCTACACCACCAAGCTGCCTGGTCAGAATTTCGCTTTATGGCAATCCAGCTAAATGTAATCTCTAGGAATGTAGTATGTATGAACATGGGGACTGATTGTGATATATTTACTACAGATTTTGTATGAACCCCTAACTCTAGAATACAATGATATCTGTAACAAAAATCATACTTTTCAATAATAATCTGTTATCAAACTTAAGTATCAGAAGTAGAAATAATACACAGGAAATAGGGGAGAGAGGCCATTTTCAAACCTTGCTGCCTGTGTCCTATCCTTCCTCCTCCACCCACTAGAACTTGGACTTTGCCCCCTGGCACCCTGGGTTCTGATAGATGAGCTTTTGCCATACCTTTCCTAGTATCCTTGCCCCACTTTCCAACTCTAGCTCCTTTTTACAAGGTTGAGAGCAGGGTCTGTCTTATTTATATTTGTATCCCCAGAGCTTAGCACAGTAAGTGCTTAATAAATGCTTTTTCTTTTATTCATTCACATTGGGAAGTGGGTTCCCCTTTCCCCTCTCCTTCAGCTGGCATGAGCAGAAACCACCCTCACCCCCTTAGTCCATGAAAAAGGTCTTCTCTCTTTTCTTGGGATGGTTACCCACCCAAGGATGTGGAGGCCACACATGACCACAGGCAAAGTAGCACCTCCCCCTACTTCTCAGAGGAAGCGCTGTCCTGGAAGTGACACCCTCACCTCAGCTGGCCCAGGCCCAAGACAAGCCACCTCATCACCACCCCGCTCCCCTTTCACATCCGCTATTACTGCTAACATTCAAACTCTCAAGAAAATCCAATTTCTCCTAGTCTCTTCTAGACCTCGATAAACTTTGTTAATAAGATCATTTTCTAGGAAGATTTGTAAATCAGTTTCTTAAAGAGATGATAATTGCTTCTGCTTCAAAGCAGTTCATAGGTAATCCTTGGATAAGAGTCTGAGAGTTAAGTCAATTTTTTAACAAAGGCTAACGTTTTATAACCTGCTTTTACAGTTGCTGGTATCTTGGGATTTGGCTTGGGAAAGGTGTCATACATAGGAGCATGCCAGAAGAAATTTCACACCATAGAATTTGAACTCCGTGGGGCAGGTTTTGGTCCAGGCCATAATAGGTAAGTGGTCCATCCCACTGAGGGAAGGTACTGGAAGAGAGGAGTGATGGGGTGGCAAGAATTGAATAAGAACTCACTGATCTTTTGCAGCCACCCAAATAGTTCCCCAAAACCATTTGTTCTCCCCTCTCCCCAAGATCTGGCCAAATCTAGATTGATCTAGCCCACATTTTCTGATAAGACCTCTTCTAGCCCTGTCCGCCCTCCCTTAATAGTTCCCTTCCTGCTAGAAAAGCAGGAGCCTCTATTTGTGACAATAATACCCTTCCAGCTACTTGAATTTATATTTATTTCATTTGATTCTTTATATGAACTCTATAAGGTAGGCAGACAATTTTAATTTCCCCCTTTTACAGATGTGGAAACTGAAACTAAGAAGCTGTCACTTGTCCGTGGTCACACTAACAAACCAGAGCCCAGAAATTCTGACTTCTAGCACAGTAGTTTTTTTTTTTCAAACTTTGTTAATTTTTTGGTTTTGTTTTTGAGATTGGATATCCCTATCTTGTCAAGGCTGGAAGTTCAGCAGCCACACATAGACTGATCCCATCTCTGATTAACACTAGAACTTTGATCTACTCATTTTTCCAATCTGGGTTGGTTCACCCTTCCTTAGGCCACCTGGTGGCCCTCTGCTCCTGGGGATTCACCATATGTATCACAGCTGGTCGTAGTGTGGACCCCTGATACGAGGCAGCTTGGCATTCCTGAGCTTGTGCAATGCACCAGCCTTACCTCCCCCATAGCAGGGATTACAGGTGTACACCAGCCTGCTTTGCTACAGTCCTTGTTCTCAAGGAGCCTACATTCTATCATGAGACATGTATATACATGTATAGGCATATGCAAAATACACATTTAAGCATGTATAAAATATGCATATAGGCATATACAAAGTGAACATGTGGGCACATACGAGGTAACCTTGGAGAAGGGGTTGCTAGCAGCAGTGTGGACCAGGAAACCACCCGGATATCTAGCAGTTGGAAGCTCTGTATTGGCACAGAGTAGAAATGAAAGAACTACAGACAAGTATGGAAAGTAACACATTGTGCACATATACACATACCTGCATTAACTTCAGATAACTTTTGAACTGACATTTTTCCTCTTAGAAGAATCATTACTAAATAAGTAGCATTGTTTTTTGGTACATGGCATAGCATTATTAAGAATATCATATGTAACATCCTCAGTGTTACTTTGTATGTTGGGGAAGCTTGTTTTACACACACACACACACACACACACACACACACACACACACACAGAGCAGCCAGGTAGCACATGGATAGAGCACCGGGCCTAAAGTCAGGAAGACTCATCTTCTTCAGTTCAAATCTGGCCTCAGACACTTACTAGCTGTGTGATCCTGGGCAAGTCACTTAACCCTGTTTGCCTTAGTTTCTTCATCTGTAAAATGAGCTGGAGAAGGAAATGGCAAACCACTTCACTATCTTTGCCAAGAAAACTGCAAATGGGGTCATGAAGAGTCAGGCATGACTGAAATAACTGAACACACACATACTTACATATATAATACATGTATTGATTTATGGGTGTATACTGACATACATATATACTGTACATATATATGTATAAGCAGCGTTATATGTGTGTGTAAAATATGTATATATATATATATTTTCTGTATAATGTAGAAATGATTGCAGTTGTCTCAAAATAATTGGACAAGGATGGAATTAGAAGTGAGTTTTTTATTTTATTAATTTGGGTTTATTTTTATTGTATTATAAAGTTGATTAAATATAAATAGGAAAGTACAGCATTATTTAATACATATTTATAGTTCCTGGTTTTAGCAGGAGTTCTTAAAAATGTGAAAGGCCAGAGCATGTCCCTTAATGGTTTGTCAGAAGCAGAGGCTCCTGAAAGAAAGCTTGGACAATCTCTCTTTGTGCTTTCTGATTACAGGCATTGCCTCTACACCTGTGAAGACTGCAAAATCAAGCATGAATTGAGTCAGAAGGGTGGTTCACAGGCCTCTGCTTCCTAAACTGGTACCTGTGCCTTTAAAGCCTTCCAGGCCTTTGCATTTGTATTTCATCTTTTCTTTGCACTTCACATAACAGTGTATTCCAGACTGGAATGAAATGTATGCTATACTTGTCAATACTCTTGTCCTATACATTTAACCATGATATTAAATCTTAATCTAGTGAGACTTTCAGCTTAAGCTTTATAACTTTTCATCTGAGTGTTGTGGTTTTTCTGTTATCTAAAAGCACGTTGGACCAGAATTTACTGAGATAAGATCTTCTCAAGCTTTCCTTGAATAACGTTATCTGACTTCTGTCTGTCCCATGTTACTCCAGTGCTCAAGTACTCTGATAAAATGGGGATGAAGACGAGATATATAAAGATGTATAAAGATGTATAAAGAAATGTACCGGGGTGAGGGTGGTAATAAGGCAGGAAAAGGAAAAGGTTGGGAGGTACCTTGTAAAGTGTGAGAGCCTGAAGTTTTTATTTAAACCAATGAGCATGCTCTGTTGGAAAATTATAGTATAAAAACAGTGTACTCTGGACTGTTTAGAAGATTTTATGGCAAGATACTAGGATAGTATTTTCCTTCCTGACTTGAACTTCTAAAAATGTTTGTTCTCTTTGGTAGCCTGCTTAATGACTTTATGTCCTATCCAGCACTTGAGTTGCTATCTATCTTAGTAAACTATTATTTTGTTGCACTGCTAATGGACGGGGTTAAAAATAATTTCCAAAATATTTAGCTTATTTCCAAGGAAGTAGTTTAGGTCCTGGAAGAACTATGTACTGATTATGTGTGTATACTCACATACATATATACTGTACTTATATATGTGTGTGTATATATATGTATATATAATACATTGTATATGTGTATAAAGTATATGTATGTCTTTGCTGAAAAAGTCGCTTCCTTCCTCCAAGCTTCTTTAGACTCCTCTGCTGGGTTCTTAGTACATACAAAATAAACTGGCCTCTGGGAGATATTTTAGCTTATGACCAGCATCTCGTAGTTGTGATTCTTCACAAAAGGTTAAGTTTTTCATGTTAGTATCTGTAATAATGCATCTTGATAGCTTCACCACAAAGACAGAAAAATTTTATTAAGCTTTAATGAACTGTTTAATAGGGTATTTTAGAACAGAGGAAAAAATGTTGAACAGATATTTTTAAAAAAACGAGCCTCTTTAGACTGTAACCTGTTTTTCAGTAAATAAAGCTCTCTAAATCAGAACATGGAGCCAATCTCTTTCTTGCTTCTTGGATGCCACTTAGGACTTGGCACTGATAACTTGCACAGTGAGTCAATGGCAACTGACAACTCTATCTCTGGGCTGTTGGCACAGCACAGCATGTAGAACACAGTGTAGAACTGGGCATATTTTGTCTCCTCCTCCATAGAAAATAAGTACACAGGGACCAGAAATACTTAACACTGTTAAATAGCACCTCCAAGTCATGGGGCTAAAATTGGATAGGGGCATGTGGAGCACCAGGCAGATGAGACAGTTGGAAAAAGTGTCCTTTGCTAAAGAGATGTGACATCTTAATAGCTCTTCTCAATCAAATTCAGTTCTATTTTTGAACTGCCCTCTGTCCCCACATAGCCATGGTATTAAAGTAAACCTGGCATGGTGATTAGTTCTAGAATAGGAGTTCTTAATATGGGATCTGTAGACTCCCAAGGAATCCTGGTAGATTTCAGGGGATCTGTGCAATTGGATGGGGAAAAAAAAATCACATCTTTTTTTTAAGTTACTTAAATTTAACTTATTTCCAAGTTATTGGAACTTGTAACTTATTTCTCTGTTATTCCAAGAAGAGGTCCATAGGCTTCTTCAGATTGCCAAAGGAGTTCATGGCACACACACATACACACAAAAAAAGACCAAGAACTCCTGCTCTTAAGGATGACAGTCTAAAGAAGAGAAAAGGTGGAAAATATCCATGATTTTTTCTTTTGGAGGGGGGGATGTATTATGAATAACATCTTTCTACAAAAAGGCAACCTATATCATTTGTGTGGAGAAACACATACACACACATTCACTTTAAATGTATATAATTATATGTATGGTGCTAAGAGCCAAGCATCTCTTTTAGCATTTGGAAATTAACGCTCTTGCCTGAAAACCGGCCATGAACCTGGGAAACCAGCAGCTTCATGCTAAAGAAAACAAAAACAAAAACCAGGCAAAGAGCAGTAGACTATTACTGTAGATAATACTTACAAGAAGGAAAGGAAAATCTAAAGGAAGCAGTGAGGGAAAGGGTTCTAGCTGGTTTCTAGGAGGACCTACTGAAACCAACGATTCAATGTGCTCTTTGGTCTGTGATTATTCAAAATCATAGCTCATGAGCAGCTCTATCTAGTGTTTCCCATTTTTCAGACCAGAGGTCACATTTAATAGAAAGCAAAGGCATTTAAACAGAACAGCAAAGTGAGGAAGAAAATTACTTTCTCTTTCGCCGTTCCTGCTTCACCATATCCATAGGGACAGATTCTCATAAATGATGCCCATACCAACAGGGAGAAAGGAAGCTTATGTGGCCTTGGTATTTTTCCTAGTCTGAACACATTTTCCAAAGCTGCGACTTGCTTCTTCCTCAGAGTTGATGATATATTCTGCTAAATTACAACTACGAGGCAGCCTCTGTGCCACAGTGGTATGTTGACTACTCTTATGAGTTAGCCTATAATATGGGGGCACGCTATAATCATCTGAGCAGACTCACAGCCATACCCACCTTTCATATCAAGAGTCCCTCAGTTCAAAGATCTGACTTTTTACTGACTTTGCTTCACTCTCAAGGGGAAATCACTCAGGTCCAGTTGATATTTAGTTTGAGGTAAGTAAACTTTCAACTCCCATTATGCCTCTGGCTGCTAACATACTGAACAAATAGAACAAAATAATAGAGTTGATAAACAAAATAGATCATTTCAGTTACATAAAATTATAATTTTGGACAAACAAAATCAGTTCAGAGGGAGTAAGAAGAAAAATTGTCTAACGGGGAAAATTGTTTCATCAAATATCACTGATAAAAATCTGACATCTCAAGATAAATAGAATGACACAAATATATAAGACAAAGAGCCATTCTCCCTTCCCTGATAGTCAAGTGGTCAATGGCTATGAATAGTTTTCAAAAGCAGGATTACAGATTATCAACTGCCATATGAAAAGCATGTTCCAAATCTGTAATAATTAAGAGAAATGCAAATTAAAACAATTCTGAGGTTTCAGCTCACAGCACATCCTGTGGGCAAAAATGGCAAAAAAAAAAAAAGATGGGAAGAATCAGTGTTGGAAGAACTATGGAAGACAGGCACACTAATTCACTATTGGAACTGTGAATTGGTACAAATGTTCTGGATAGCACTTTTACTCAAGAAAAGTGACGACTGTTCAAACCTTTTAACCCAAACAATCTCATTACTGGATGTCTCAGAAAGTCAAAGACAGAAACAAAGTCCCAACATAGACCAAAATAGTCATAGTATCACTTTTTGTGGTAGCGAAGACCTGAAAACAAAATGGGTGCCTATCAATTAGAGAATGACTGAACAAACTGGGACATATGAATGGAATGGAATGTTATTGTGCAGTAAGAAACTATGACCATATGGAAGGGAAATGTGGGATGATTTGTATGAACGTATCCAGACTAAAATAAATAGAATTAGACGAATATATACTATCAATATAATAATGTAAATGAGAAGATCATTGAAAGGAAAGCAAACTGAATAATTCCTGAGAAATATATGTCTGCAGACCTGGAAGTAACCTTGTGATTTTGAGAGGTCAAATTTGTGAGTCAGGTCTTAGCTACCCTGTGGAAAGTTGTCATTAAAACAGCACCGCGTTTCTGAGGAAAAAGGAGAATGTCAGTGGTGGAAAGGTTGAAAAAAAGTCCCAAAGCATGCCATGGTGTGGTTGGGTTGGATATTTAGACCTTGTGAATTACTGTAGTTGTGGAGTGGGGATGGGAAGAATTGATCTGGACCCCTTAGATCGATGATTCTTTCCCATGAATGACTGAAGAGGTGAAAAAGCATTATTAAGTGTTTATTATGCCACTCATTGTGCTAAGTGCAGCAGATACAGACAGTGCCCTCAACGAGTTTATATTCTAATTTGGGAAGAGAACACCTATTATATTTTATTTTAGTTTGGAAAATTTCATGGATGGTGAGTGGAGCCATAGAGGTATAAATTAACCTGCTCATTCCAAGAATGATGATAAAATATTGGTTTGACCATCATTCTAGAACTGGAAAGTTCTGGAGGGAACTGGGAAAGGTAGAGGTGGCCACAGGCAGGGTGAAAGGGTTAAGTGCTCCAGGATGATTTCTGGTCCAAGGTGTCAAAGTAAGTGGTGCAGAAGTGTCAGGAGGAGTAAATTAAAGCATGAATGGAGCCCTAATCCTAAACCCCAGCCTAGTTAATGAAATTACAGAAGGGGCAAATAACAGAGACAATATATGTGTTACAGTCTTAACAAATGAAACTGAATCAAAACTGAGTTTTATGGGTTTAAAGGGTTGCTTGGGTAATTGTTAAATAATGTTTGTTTTAAGTGTATGTACAGCATCAATAAATTGTACTTTCCCTAGTTGTTATGTAATTTATATCAAAATTCAATTTATTACTGAAAAGGTCCGAATTTTGGAAGCAAAATTTCCTTTCCTCCCCCAGCCCAATAAGGAAATTGAAAACTGAAATGGAAAATGACATACATGGGTACTATTTGTATTCCAAAAAAAGTTAATCTCCCAGAAAACTTGTCAGTCCTTTTGGATTGTAATTTATTACTGTGTTTTTAATTATTTCAAATATTATAATTATGTCCACTTGAAAGTTCACTGTACCAAATGAAGACTCCACAGCATTTGTTTCTTATCATGAACTCTGAATCATTTACCATAGTGAAGAATTAGATGAATCACATGACTAGTTTCTTTTTAATTTTTATTTTAGAGTCCAGTAACTTTTTATTTTTTAATAGTAGGAAATAACATTTATTTAACATCAGGTGATTACCACATCAAACATTTTTACAGTCACCTAAAAAAGTAGCAATCATCTATAATTCTATAGTGTTATTTTGTTATTGAATATATAGAGAAGTAGGAATAAGAAGCGGTAGATATTAAGTATATCTTTAGAAAAGTTATTTGAAGGGCAGTGAATAGAGCAGTGGCCCTGGAGTCAGGAGGACCTCAGTTCAAATCCAGCCTCAGACACTTGCGACTTAATAGCTATGTGATTCTGGGCAAGTCACTTAACCCTGATTACCTTACCAAAAAACAAAACAAAACAAAACAACAATTAAAAAACTATTTGGAGAAAGAGAATTTAAGTTATGATTGATCAGTGTTCATGTGTGATTACAAACAACTTGATATGTTTAATTTCACTTTTTACATATGCCTTTATTCCTGCAACTTGAACATTAATAGCATAGTGTTTGGGGATGTTAAAGTGTTCTTTTGGGATATGTTTTATTTCACCCATGCTATGTGCATACATATCTGAGACTGAGGCTTGGAGAACCAAACTGCAGATAAACAAGAATGTTACTCATGCTTGAAACTATGACCCACAGGATTGTGTCTGTATTTCTCAGAGGCAGTTGATGTTCACAGTCAGGTTATATGTTGTTCAAATATTAGTAAACGTAAGGAGCTTCAAAAATTCTGCAACCCATGAGTATTTTTGCAGGCAAATGTTTTTGCAATTGATATTAGAATCAATGTCACTGAAAGTCATTTTGAGAAAGTAAATGGCTAATCACCTTGCCAAGTCCTATTAACTGTATGTCTTCAGCATCTCCAATCTGTTTTATCTTTTCCACTCCAATTGCTACCACCCAGATTGCTTTCTGAGTGTATTGGATTTGAGGGGTTTGTTGCACTGCTACTACCTTTCCTCTGACTTTTTAACTGTTTCTTGTATATGCTGCTACATTCTTTGTCTCTGTGTACTAGCAGTCACCCATGCCTGTCTTGTACTTTCTCCTCATCTCACTCTTAGTCTGCTTTGAGACTCTGCTCAAGCACTACTTTCTACATGAAGCCTTTTTCTGATTCTTCCAACTGATGGAGCCCACCTTGGATTTGCTTTGTATAATTTACATCTGTGTGAATCTAATCTCACATGGTAGAAAGTAAGCTTCTTGGAGTCAGGAGGTTTTTTTCCCCACTTTTATTCCTGAATCCCTAGCACATAGCGTAAAGCAGTGATTACTATACTAGTTTGCTTAAATTCTTCTGAGATTAGATTTTTAGGATCTCTAATTTGAGTATTTTGTGGTTTTGTAGGCACATTAATCTATTTTCTTTAAATTCTCATTATCTCAGACATAATCTGTTATTGTATTTATTTTCTCTTTTTTATGCATTTACTTTTTTCACTATTTTTGCAATTTACTTTTCCTCTCTTTAAAAAAAAATCAAATTAATGGTTTACCAATTTTCTTAGCCTTTAAAAAATCCCAAATGCTTTCTTTACCTTACCAGTTAATCTTTTTGATTTTTATTTCTGCTTTTATTTTCAATTTTTCTTGAGTTTAATATTATTAATTTGATGATTTTCTAATTTTTAATTGCATGCTAACTTCATTACTCCTTCTTGTCTTTTTTGTTAATGTATGTTTTCAGGGATAAAGTTTTTTTCCCCCAAGGACTACTTTAGGTACATGGTACATATTTTGGTATGTTGTCTCACTGATACTCTCTTTAATATGACTATGTATTGTTTCAAAGATTGTTCAGTGACCCACTCATTATTTAGAATATAATCACTTACTCGCCATTTAGAGATAGACATTTTATTATTTTCTTCACAGATTATGTTATTTCTGTTATGATTTCTATTAATGTTGTTTTTCTATTATATTATGATTAATAAAGGATGTGTTTAATCCTCCTCTCATTTTACCTTTACTCCTTGCACTGACTTTACGTTCCTTCCTACCCAAATCCAACTTAATAGCTTACCAGGGTCAACTCCACAGTCCTCCACTTTCACTCATCTTTTATCACTTTTCCACTCACTCCTCATGCCTTGCCAAATCCCAACGCTGTATCACTCCCATCATCTACGTCTTTGTTCTTACACATGCTGCTGAATAGAACTTGAGGAAGTAGCCCAACCAGGCTGACTGAGGACACTATGAATTTATGTAATCTAATCTCAAGGCTTTTGGCTCAAAGGCCATCTCCTACATAACAAAACAATGATTTTATAGCTGAAGAGTTTAAGAAAAGCTTTCAACATGGAGACTGATACTTGAACTGGGTTTTAAATGGAGGGGATTTCAGCAAGATGTTTGAAGAAAGTCTATTTTAGGTGTTTTCATGGGAGGAAGAAAATAAGCCAGTGAAGACGCCTAAGCAGGTGGACAGGTACGAGTAGAATCACTAGAGCCTATTCAGAGGCCATTAGAGGAAAGTCTAAAGATGGTTGTGGGCAAGGGGAGTGACTGAGCTGCGCAAAAGTTGCTGCAAGGTTGAAGATGAACAAAAACGCCAATCTGATTTGGCAAGTAAGAGGTCATCAGGACCTTGGAGAGCAGTTTCAGTTGAACAAAGGTAAAACAGATTGTAAGAGAAGTTTGAAATACTTTAAAGAGCACTTTATTTAGAGTTAGAAATAGTTCTTCCATTTAGCTAACTTTTCTTCCTTTCTTTTCTTATTTGTTAGAACAGATGGGTCACTAGGCAGAGGAGGGTGAGGGATATATTCAGAAATTAGGGTAATGTTTAATAGGTTAAATAAAATCAATAAAACAAAATGAGGGTTTTGCACTAAATTTCCACAATGATATAGTGCTGGATGTGTTCTGCTTTGCAACATCTATGAGACCTTGGTCAAATCAATCTGTTACTCCAGGCCTGAGTTTTGTCATCTGTAAAATAAGAGGGTTAAGGTAAATGATTTTTAAGTTCCTTCTATTTCCAAATTCAATGATTTATCTCCAACTTCCAATCTAATTCTAAAATATTATAGTCCTGCGTGTGACATAGAAGTGAAATTAGTAGTTGACTGTTCTAAAACTTTGGCAAGAAATAAAATGTTGAATACTACTTGAGTGAGTCAATCAAGTCAAAATTAAGTTTTTAGCATGGGGAAACTGGTCATGCTTGTAAGCAGAAGGGAAAAAAAGAGGTAGTGGAGAGATGGAAAATGAGAGAAAGGAATGCTCTACAGAACAAGGTCCCTGGGGGAGAAATAAGAGAACCAAAGGTATAAGTGGAAGGGGATAGCCTTGACAAGGAGAACCACCAGAGGGAAAGACAGGATAGATGGAGATAGAGTTTTAAGGTATAGAGAAAGAAAGATGAAGGAACTGGAGATATTCTCAAATTTCTCAGTAAAGCAGGTCATCACCTGAAAGAGAAAGGGTGAGGTTAAGTCAGGAGCTTCAGAAGGGAAGTTTGGAACAGTTCATGTGGGTAATGTGATAGGGAGTCAATCCAACATAAGATATTGTCTGGGCCTGATTGAAAATCAGAAGAAAACTCATGAATTTGCATGAATTCTTTTCCTTTCCCCCAAATCAGGCTATAAACTCCTTATAGTATATGTCTTACTTCATCTTTATGTCTCTAGTAGACTATGTTGGACAAAGAGCTGAAACTATATATTGACTTCAATTATGCCATACAACATAATCATCATGTTATCTTACTATAAGAAAGGCATTCAGAATTCCAACTGGAGATACCCAAAGAACAGCACATCCTACTGAAACCCTGAGATGGCAGGAATGAGTACAAGCACTTTTTAACATTCATTTTTGTAAGATTTTGAGTTCCAAAGTTTTCTTCTTCCCTTCCTTCACTTCCCTCTCCCCAAGACAGCAAGCAATCTGATATAGGTTATACATGTACAATCATATTAAACATATTTCCACATTAGTCATGTTATGAAAAAAGAATTGGAACAAAAGAGAAAAACCACAAGAAAGAAAAACAAAAAAAAGTGAAAATAATATATTTTGATCTGCATTCAGACTCCATAGTTCTTTCTCTGGATGTGGATAGCATTTTCCATCATGAGTCTTTTGGAATTGTCTCCGATCATTGTATTTCTGAGAAGAGTTAAGTCCATCATAGTTGATCATTGTACAATGTTGCTATTACTGTGTGTACAATGTTCTCCTGGTTCTGCTTAGAATACAAGCACTTTTAAAAAACTGCTAGTAATGCTAGAAAAAGGACAGAGTGGGTTAAAGACTACCTCCTTCACTTTTCATCCTTAACCTTTTTTTTTTTTTACTTAGTTTCTATAAGAAAAATTGCAACAGGTGCCAATTGGGTCTTTGGGTAGATAGTGGAAAAGGTTCATGTTCAATTTAAAAATAAAAGATTCACCGTGCGTGGTATTGATGAAGAAAGATTTGGTGACAGGGACAAGGAATAAGTGAGGAATTGTGCCTTGGCCAGAAGATTAGTTCTAAGAAGTGGTGGAGTATAACCTGGAATACTATCAGGTACTCATTATCCACCAAAAGAAAACTTCCTCAAACCCCAGTAGCACCTGGTTGAGGGAAACAGACTTCCATAGCCCTCAGGTCACCTGGCTGGGCTAGTTATTCCAAAATTAAGTTCACGTAAAAATACATCTCAAACTGCCTATACAATTTCCCCTGCCATCAAAGTTTTGGGGGTAATTCCCACCTCCTCTAATACATGACAGGTAGGATCTCCAAAGATTTCTCAATTAGGCTTTGCCAGAACACATCAGCTTCTTTACTGCATTATCATTATTACTGGAACATTTATGCAGAAATCAAAAGTTGTATTCTATGTGGTAGTTATACATGATCAACAATAGGGTGTGGTAAAACCATAAGAACATTTTTATCTGCCCTGAAACAGGATCACAAATTGGGTTTACAGCAAAGAATACGAGTGTGCCAAATTATTGTTCCCAAAGGACCTGTAAAACGTAGAGGGTTTTATTTCTAAAATATGCTTGCTTGGCCTTTTCTTTTAGCCATTTCTTTCCAATCAATATACTGCATAAAGATTTGTCAGAGCAGTCATTTGATGATAAGTCACATTTACTCTTAAAATTATTAAAAATGTTCTAAGATCAAGGGAGGTAACTTAGTCATCTAGTCAAACCCCATCATTTTATGGATAAGGAAATTGAGGCCTTTAAAGAGGATATGACTTTCCCAAGGAAATACAAGTAATCCAGTTGATGTTTCAACCTAGGTCTCCTTATCCCAAAGTCAATACTCTTAATAAAATAGATGACCAGAAGTTCTATTTCCTATCCTGGTGCAACTCTATCTGCCTGTAAATATATGCTCACAAGTTCACTATAAGCTAGGACAGAACCACAAATTCAATAAATACAGGAATGGCTGCATATTGTTTTCAACTTTAATTGACAGGATATACATGAAGACATAGCAAACTTTTTAGGAAAAAAAAAGTAAATTTTTTCACATGAGGTTTTAATACTTAACATTTTGGTTGCTTTGCCCATATGTGCACAAACACACATTATAGTACTTGATCTGTCTATGCCCATTCCAGTCCATCAGAGTCTTTTGATGATACTTTAAGAGTAATTTAACCAATTTTTGTAAACGATTTTATCAACTCTATAAAATCATAATCCAGTACCTTCATTCATCTAGTTTCCTAAGCAGTGTATGTACACTGATACAATATTAACCATAAAGTCCACAATTAATTTTAAACTTTCTGTTAAACCACACTACTAAAACCCAAGTTTCTTCTTTTAAATATGCTTGTGGAGGCTGCTTCTGCACTTTCCTGAAGACGCTCATGACCACCTAGATGATGGTGGTTAGCTGAAATTCTCTCCAGTAGACTCAACACAAACTTTCTTCAGTAGACAACAAATTTTTCACTCATCCCAAGTATCTCCATATTGGTTTACTTTCCCTAGGGAATTAAGCACACAGTCAAGACTTCTAAATAAAGAATTACATTTTTACAATACCATTTAAAAAATCTGCTAATAAAGAAAAGCCATGTTTTTTTCCCCCTCTTTTGTCCAGAAGCACAAGAAAATCTAGTAATTACATCTAATATTAAACATGAAATGTTTTATTAGTCTTAACTTGCCACTGAGCTGCATTCCAAAAGTTTATTCTTAAGTCACTTGTTTGAAATTTTAAAAAAACAAGCAAAAAAACCCCCCAAAAAACCAAAACAAAACATTTTCACACAGAAACAATGTCATAAAGACAAGGTTAGGTTTTTGGTCCATAAAAGCCTGTTTAACCTGTAACATTACATAAGCAACATAACAGAATAGAAAGAACATTGGATTTGGAGTGAGAGGAACTGGGTTCAAATCCTAGTTCTGTACCTGTGGGACTTTGGGCAAATCTCTCACCTCCTCTATGTAAAATAAGGAGGTTGGAGAGGATGCTCTCTAAGGTTCATCCCAGCTGTATCAATGTTCTATTCTTACATGTGCTCATGTGGTCTCCCCTAAAATGAACTGTAAGCTCCTTGAGAACAAGGACTACTTCCTTTTTGTTCCAGCATCCCTAGAATCTAAGATAGTTCCTGGCAACTAAGTAGATGCTTAAAAAATGCTTGTTAATGTAGGTAGTTAAATAACATTAGTTGATGTAAGGCCTGACTTGGGAGTCAGGAAGAGTTAAATCCTGCCTTAAACACTAGCTGTGTGACCCTGGACAAGTCACTTAACCTTTGAGTCTCAGTTTCCTCATCTGTAAAATTAAAGAGTTGGACTCAATGGCCTCTAAGCTTCTTTCCACCTCTAAATCTATGATCCTATGATGGCTATGATTCCAAATTATAGTATTACTCATATGCCTTCACTAATTGGATTATAGTTTCCCAAGGGACATGTTGGGGGTAGAAGGCTCTCGTCAGAGAAGGGTCTCAAGATTGGGAGAGGAGGGAAAGTAGACACAATGTAACAGTGTCCTTTCAGTTTCTATAACAATCATTTCCATTGAGTGGGATGGGGTAAGATAAGGACTTAGGGAAGAGGGTAAAAGGTCATATTCACTATCAAGTAGTATTGAAGAAATAAAAAGTATTCATTTTCAATGATTCTCAAAATAAAAAAGCTTAAATAAGATTAGGAAAAAGTACAATGAGACAAGAAGACAAGGAAAAAAGATGAGCTAGTTCTTGAAATGGCTAGCTGGCATATAATCATATCACAATAACTCAATGTCTTACATCTCCAACAAAACTGTATTACAACAATATATACTATGAAACCACAAATATTTTGTGTTATCATAGAAAGACAAATTGCTTTGAGTGTGTGTGTATATATATGTGTACATATATATACACATATATATAAAGACATATATATATGTTGTATTAGTAAATGAAAGTAAAATCCCTTTTTAAAGACAGTTACATATCACTTTACACAACAGACTTTACATAACATATATTACTGAAAAGCTGCATGAAAATAATACTTTAAGAAATTATTCATATGTGAAATGCATTAGAGACCTTTCTATTTAAAATAACTAAATCCTCTTACAAAGGGAGGAATCCTTTTGTAATGTGAATTATCACTCTCTAATTTATCTGTTTTATAAATCTGGATAGTGCCTTGCACATATATAGAAAACACCAAATAAGCATTAGTTGAATTGAATAATAAAACTGTCTTAAACTGGGGACAAGCCTGTACTTAGATGATGACAATTTTAAAGAACTAACGGAAAACAAGAGTGCTGATGTTTTATAACTGTTTGGAAATCTCTGCTATGAAGTTTTGTTTGCCCATCGAGAAATGACTTCTAAGTTCAGTGCCAAGGACCTCTTCCTTCCTTTCTTTAATTTATAAAACAGAATAGTAAACTTCTGAAAACAATGACACATCCTTTTAAATTCCACAACTTAAAAAACACTGAATTCTACACTGTGAAAACAACTCAAGAAAATAGCAATGCCATTCTATTTTGAGAGAACAATGCTATTTAAAATATGCCCCAAATAAGGACTAACTTGTTTTGACCAGAAAGTTTGATTGTTTCATGTGCTTTGTGCAATGCCCAAATGCTAGAGGAAGAACTAAAGGCTAAAATAAACTGGAAACAAAGTTTGTCCAATTGTGTCTAAAATGAAGAACTAGATGACATATTGAAGTTATAGAAATTGTAGCTTATTAGATATGACTATGACTAAAAGATCTATATTAGAATGAACATATCCAGCAAAGTCTTGTCCTTTTAAAATCATCACAGGACGCCATATATATTTCTCCATGTCATTGCCATTGCTCAAAACATCTTTAGAATTCCAGCCAAACTGATTATGGTCATGAACTGGCTGTGTCCAGGGTTCTCATTCATCTCAGCTAGGCTTAACTCCAAATGAGCAATTTTTAAAAAATCATATCCACTCAAAGGATAAACAACTCTGAGAACATGCAAAAGAATGTGCTGTGGGCACTAAAAAAAAGTTAAGAAACAATCAAAACAAAAGGCTTTGTACAACAGTCACAATCAATTTAACTCCTTCAATCTCCTTCCTGATGAAATGGCATTCTTAGTTACCCCCTCTGAGGAGAGAGCACACTTTCACTCATACTCCAACTCACTGCTCATGGTGGAGGAGTTAAAATACTCCACGCTCCCCAATGCTACTTCCAGACTCTCCATCTACCTCTACCTAGGAGGAGGTAACCTCCTCCTTCTCTTCAGAGGATCAATCCATATTTCTCACCCAATCAAGATTCTGGTAGTTGTTATATATCAATGCCCAGGACATTCTTCTTCTTTCCTTCATGAGTTCAGTGTCTGGCTCACAAGACTTTCTCTCCTCCCAAACTCTTGCACGTTGTTACTCCCTCAAGCACCTTAACTTTCCAGGTCCTCAATTTACTCACTTTCAATGACCTACTTCTCTGCCCCACCTCACAGCTATACAGAGATGGTTACACATCCTTAATCTTGCTATTACCTACAAATGCTTCCATGTTCAAGAACCCTAAAATTCCTTTATCTCATAGTATTTTATTATTCTGTCTTTCCCTGCCTTATAGCCCCTAATCCTATTCTTTCTTCTCACTATTACCTCCAGCCCCTCCACCTCTCCATCTTTTCCAAGCCATCACCCCTTAATTGGCTACACTCTCTTCCCTTCTCCATCTTGACCCTTTGGTGAACCAGTTGAACTCTACACTAACCTCCCTACTCTTGAATACCTTGCTACTGATCCCATTGCCAATCCTGACCTGCCAAGTCACAGTCTTGGATTACTTCCACCAGTTGCTGCTGTGTCTGCTGTTCATGTGCTCCTGAATGAAGCGAGGGAAAAAATCACAAAACCATGCTAACTGGGTCCACTACAAATTCTTGTTTCATCTCAACTGGGTCCTCACTGCAGCAAAATGATTCTTCACAGACTCCTAACCAATTCGTTAATAACTCTTACCATAGCAACTTTACCAAACGTCCCATGGGTCTCCCTCTACCCACACTCCCAGCTCGTATTTGCTTCATATTTCACTGGGAAAACTGAAGTCATTTACTGAGAGTTCCCTTTTCTCCCCTCCTCATCTCATACTACGAGCTTGACTTCTGCCATTATTTCTTCCCTCACCCCTCTCATGTTATAGAGGCGACTATTCTCCTTGCTAAGGCAAATCCCTCTCTCTGTACATGCAAGTAATCCCTTTCCATCCTGTCTTCTCTAGCAGATCGAACCCCATATCAACTCATCTCTCTCACTTATCTTCAATTTCTCTTTGTCTACTGGCTGTCTCCCTACTACCAATGAACATGCCCTTGTCTTCCCAACCTCAAAAAACCCTCACTTGATCCATCCATCCCCTCTATCATCCTCTATCTCTCTTGTGGATAAACTCCTTGAAAAAACTATCTACAGTAAGTACCTCCCCTTCTTTTCTTCTCACTCTTTTTAACTCTTTATAGTTTGGCTTCTAACTTCACCATTCAAAAGAAATTGCTAGCAATCTTCAAAGTTACTAACAATCTCTTAGTTGCCAAATCTAGTGGTCTTTTCTCCATCATCATCCTTGTTGAACAGCCTCTCTCATTGTGAATCACCCGATTCTCCCTCATATTCCTTTTCTTTCCAGGTTTTCAGGAGACCGTCCTTTCCTGGTTCTCCTCCTCTTTCATGGACCACTCCCCTTCTGTCTCCATTGCTGGAGCTTCATCTAGGTCACACTTGTTAACTATGGGTGTCCGACAGGGCTCTGTCCTGAGCCCGCTTTTCTTCTCCCTCTGTACTAGTTCACTTGATGACCTCACCAGCTTCCATGGACTCAATTATCATCTCTTTTTACATGATTCTGGATCTTTTTATACAGTCCCAACCTCTCTCAGGACCCTTCTCAGATCTGCCACTTGTTATTAAATTCAATATGTCACAAACTGAACTCATTATCTCCTACCCCTCCCCTTCAACCAAATCCTCTCATCTTTTAAAACTTCTTTATTACTGTCAAGGGCACCACCATCCTCCAGTCTCCTAGGCTTACAACCTAGGTGTCATCCTTAACTTCTCACTCAGTCTCACCCCTTATCCAATTTGTTGCCAAGGCTTATTGATTCTACTTCTATAACATCTCTTACATATGCCTCCTTCTTTCCACTGACACTGTCTCTACCCTTGTACAGGCCCCATCACCTCACGCCTGGACTATTACAAGAGGCTTCTGGTTAGCCATCCTGCTTTAAATCTCTGCCCACTTCAGTCTATTCTCTACTTAGCTATCAAAATAATCTTCCTAAAGTACAGGTGGGACCACAGATGTCAAAACCCCTGAAATCCTGTTTTTGGCTTTTAAAGCCTTCCAGAAACTGGACCCTTCCTATCTATCTAGCCTACTTATACTTTATTCCTCTCCACATACTCTACAATCCAGTGACACACACCTCCTGGCTCTTCTGCTACAAGACGCTCCATTTCCCAATATTTTCACTGGTTGTCTGTCTGGAGTTCTCTCCCCCCTGATCTTTGCCTCCTTCCTTTAAGCCTTAGCTAAAATCCCACTCTCTGCAAAGCTTTTCTCAGTGTCCCTTAATGCTTGTACCTTCCCTCTCAGATTACCTCTAACTAATCCTGTACAGTGTTATTTATATGTTCTCTCCCCCATTAGAATGTGAGCTCTTTGAGGGCAGGGACTGTTTTTGCTTTTCTTTGTATCCCCAGTGCCTGGTACATAGTAAGCACAACAAGCAACAAATGTTTGTTGAAATAAGCATGTAGACTTCTAAGGTGATTACACTGAAGAAGACAACTGTCATTTGTATTTCTAAGTTCTGCTATGGCATAGACATATAATTTCTACAGTTGTGGAAACTCCTATTGTAGAAGTTTCCTCTAATGGTGCAAACCAGCAACTCATCTGTAAGTTAAGTTCAGGATACTAAGAACTATTAAATTTTAACACAACCAAATTCTAATTTAAGATGTAATATTCCATTTTAAAAATTTAAACATAATTAATTTATAAAATTTAATTTCTATGAAATGAAAAAACAACAAATAGTGGAATTAATGCTGCAATTGACAATGCCACTAAGAAAAATGGCTGCCTAATAAGCTACCGTACCTTGTTTTTTTGGTGTTCTTTCCTGCATGGGTTTGAGTGGGGTGTCACCCTTCTGTGACAAGGTTACTTCATATGTTTCTCTGTTCTTATTCCTTAATTCCTCATACGTAACAGCTTTTCTCTTAGGACTTTCTTCCACAGTTGTATCAGGTTCTAAAACAATGAAAGGAGATAAATGATCATAGAAGGCATGGTATAAATGCAATGTAACTCAAATGATAAGTCCCATTTGATCATACATTATAGCAAATAAACAGTTCAAGTTTTTGCCACCATGCTTTTGAAACACATCTTATTAAAAAAAAAGTAACTGAGAGGAAAATCAATTCCTCTAGCATTTTAAGACTGTTTAGCTTATTTCAAAGCTTAAAGCCAAGGTCTGTAACTGCTAGGGATTAAATCGAGCAAGAAAAAGTATGCTGTACATTATCATAGAAGATACCAATTTAAACTCTTTAAGATATTATGAAATGGAAAAATACTGAGAGTATACACAGAATTAAAGAGAAAGTATGACTTACCAAAAAAAGATTTGAACTAAAGCAAAGCCAAAGTTTGCATTTATATATATCTAGCTATTAACTTTTATTACTACTTAGCATTTCTATGTATTTAATACAGGGGTCCTTAATCTTGGGTCCACAAACCCACCTGTGAAAAGATTTCAGGGTATCTATGAACTAAGTTGGGGAGAAATTACATATATCTTTATTTTCACTTACTTCTAACTGCAATTTAGCATTTTCTTCGATTATGAATATAAGCAATAGATATCATTCTGAGAAGGGGTCCATAGGCTTCACAAGATAGCCAAAGGAGTTCATGACACAAAAAAATAACATTAAGAACCTCTGGTCAAATACAATATTTTTTATCACTTTTGCTAATTAATAATTCCATAAGATACCTCAGAGATAGAAACTGCATCCAATTCTGGATAATCAACTAGTACTTACTGATTATGTATAGGGAATAGAATGTGCAAGTTTTAAAGATGAAAAATTTTATACCTGGAAGTACTTAGGTTTGCTTAGTAACCCAAAGACAAATGACAACTCACAATTGTAGAATTTCTGTCCACAGCTAAGTGTAATAACCAATATATACTTAAATATTTTATGTTTATATATGTATATATAGCCCTCACATACATATATGCATATGTGCATCGGGCATATACATACACACACATACATACAGACATACATATGTATGTTTGTATTCAAAATAATACCAATCCCAACAATGGGTCTTCAAGAACAATTTTTTTTTACCTGTTTACTTCATTCCAAAATACATGCCAAAGATGAGGTGGAACCACAAAAAGGTGTCATCTAAACTTATATTTTTATCAAGAAATCTGCAAAATGATTCGAGTAAGCACCAACATTTATAACTTTACCTCCCTCAGACGCCATTTCTGAAAACACTAGCACTATACATTATCTCTAAGATAAGTAGTAGTTTGAAAGAAGTAGAAGTGGTTACAATTAGTACTCACTGATAGAGCAAAATAAAAGTAAGCACTTCACCTCTGAGATCTTCCTTCAGGGCAAAATCAAAATAGTTCATCAAAAACTAAGGGAAAATGTCTATATATATACATTACTACAGAATTTTTTTTGTTACCAAAATTACACACTGCAAATAACCTGAATTTTTTATGTAAATCCTAAAATACTCTTCAAAGTTGTTTTGACTTGAAGACAAAAAGGGTATGATTTATTTTGAATACAACTGAAAAAATCAAGGAAACTGAAAAAAGACATATTTCATAAATGATGATTCTGATTAGGAGCTCAGGAACAAGCCCTAATTAAACTTTTTTCAAAACAAAAATAGGTTCATAAAATGCTGGAAAAATACACACGATATAGCTACAAGTCTTTTTTTCTCTCCCTTAGCTCAATGCTTTGTACATAGCAGGTACTGAAGGTTGGTGAATATTTTCTCTTGTTCTTATTATGTTGCTATTTTCTCACTAAGGTCCTACACTAATGTTTCAATAAACCATTTCTCAAAAGGCATCCCAGTGCAGTACAAGCTCAGGTAGGTACAATGGAGGTAGAAAGGCTCCCAGCACGGGTGCAGACCTAGGATGCACATTGGTGTCTATTGGTCAAAGTCAAGACTGAAGAGGCCAGTTTATCAAAAGAAGGAATCAGAAGACCTGAGTTCTAATAATCCTTGCTCTTCCACCAATTAGCTTTGTAAACTTAGGCAAGTTTCTTAAAATTCAAGGCTTCAGATCTGAGGTGAGATTACTAGAGAATAATACTGTTCTCTAGAGAAACAGAAAGTATGGAGGAGAGAGATGTATTAAAAAAAAAAAAGATGATTTGTTCCATTTCAGACAGGATCAGGACATCAAAGACTTAGGGCTGCATTTGATCTTTGAGGTTATCTAATCTAACCTCTTCATTTTACCTAAGACCCAGAGAGGTTTAGTGAACTGCCCAAAGACATACATGGTTAAGTGATAAAGAAGGGATTCAAAATAAGGTTTTCTGAAACAAAATCTCACACTTTTGCCTACTCACCATACTGCTTCTCATAGAAGCCCTATTTGCACTGCACAGAACACAAGATTTTCTCAAAAATAGTTTAGGAAATGTTTTGTTAGCCTACTTATAAAATGTTTTTCAAAGGGCAACAATGTATTTGCACAAATACTGTCTCAAGTGCTTTATAATCAGAAGCCAAAAAATGTGAAGATCCCCATGAAGCTGTTGGAGATGTTGGACTAGAATTCATTAGAGAGATATTGAGGCTAACTATATAGATTTAGGAGTCATCAGCATAGAGATGATTACTGAACCTATAAAAGCTGATGAAATTATAAAAGGAGAAAGTGTAGCGCAAAATAGAAGAGTCAAAATTTATAAAACCTAACTCACTACCAATGTCAGAGAAGAAAAACAATGAGAAACATAATGGTTATGTAAAAACAAAATTCTATTAATACAAATTTTTTTTTCAAAAAATTCAGTACCAAAATGGTAGATCAATAAGCAATTTTTGGCAGTAATGAAAGTTTAAGAAACACTGCTTAATAAAATTCTAAAACCTGTGATCATGTAATAATATTTTTGGGAACTCAAAAATTATGATGGTTAAAAAATATATAGAATTAAAATATTTCTGCAGTAAATTTCCTGCGATCATCAAAATCAAGCTGCAGACTTCTATCAAATGGTAGTAATAATACTTGTGCTACCCACCTCTATGGGACAAGTGAGAAAATGGATAGAGAACATTTCGTAGTGAAAAATCATTGTAAAAGTGCATTATTCTTATAACTAAAGATTATTACAAAGTGAACTATAACATAATGAAATTCATTTCAACATAAATTATACCTTGTGTATTATAATCAGTAATACCGGTAGGAGTAGATTCATTCATGGAAGCACTGAAAGGGACTGGTTCATAAGGAGGAAAAGGACCTTCTTTTGCACTGCTTTCAGATGTGGGAGATGTTCCAAAAGATGAATTTGCAGGCATTTTTGACTCAAATCCTGGCTTTTGTGAAAAATATCTGAGAAATGAAACCACAATAAAAAAAAATAGTGATATGTTAGTTACCCAGAACAATCTTATTTTAAAAGTACTCGCATGAAAAATTTTAATACAGTAATTTTAAACAACATAATCAAATCTATGTTTAGTACTAAGACATAAAAACAAATGGTACCTCTAATCTAACACTCCTCAAACTTTTACACTTTAAATGAGAAACATAACAGGGATCAAAGAATAATCTAGTAATTAAAGTGTTTTATAGAACTTTGGGAAGAAAAACACTAACTAAAAATTAGGTCCAGTTCTATATAACATTATCAGTACAAAAATGTGACTAAATCAAATCTTATAGAACAGATAAGTTCCACAGATGACACCAAGTCTAGCATCAACTGAATCCTCTGAACCTCTGTGGCACCTGTGCCTATGACTCGTGTAGCCTTTAGCCTATAGTAGTATAGTGTAAAAAACACTGGATTAGGCGTTTGAAGGTTGAAGTTCACGTTCCAGCTCTGCTACTTACTACCTATGTAATATAGGGAAAGTCCCTTGACATCTCTGTTCATTATATTAGCAGTTTCCTCATCTATAAAATGAGGTCAATACCTGGACTACTCCTTTCACAGGTTTGCTAAAAATTTCAAATAAGATAATATATGTAAAATATGATACAAATGTCAGCCACTATTATTTACCTTTTTATAACTGTTTCCTCAACTAAACAAATAGTAAACCTCTGGAAGACAGATACTGTTGGAGTATACCTCTCTAATCCTAGACTCCAAGCACAGTAAGAAATATGTGTTGAGAAATGTTTGTAATTAGTAATGATGATGACAATTATTGATCAATGTAATAATATTCTTTTGGTGAGATCTATCATAGTATGTGTATTCTAATACTTAACAATACTAAGCCTTCTTAATATGATTTGACATATTTGACCAAAGAGAATTTTTTTTTGCCTTTCTGCCTACCACAGTGCTTGGTGCATAGTAAGCACTTATTAAATGCAAACACAAGCACAAAATAAATGCATATATTGATCTATATATATTCACACTGTTCATTTATTTATTTTGGAGGGAGGAGCAGGGAGACATACTTCCTGGTCTTTGGTAGGCGTTATAAAATGACAGGAAACCAGTGAGCTCAGGGTAGAGATAGAAATTCCAAGGACAGCTTTTTGAATCAGTATATATATTTCTTCATTTGGTGAACATTTATAAATGCATACTATGTATAATATATTGGGTACTAGAAGAGATAATATAAATAAGACCTGGTTCTCAGGCTTCAAGAGCATACAATTTTTAGAGAGGACATATACAGAGTCAAAGATAATATAAATCAGAATTACTATAAGCACAGAAAGATTATAAAATTCTGTAAGAACATGAGGGAAAAAATTTTTTATGCTGATAACACTTCACAAAGGAAGTAGCACTTAAGCTGAACTTTGAAAGATGAGTAGATACTCAATATGGAAATGTGGGAAAAAAGATACGTGACAGAGTTAAAAGCATAGGCAATGGCACAGGGTAGGAAAGGCATGGAACAAGTTGTGGGGCACCTGAGTATTTAAGGGAAATAGTGTGCAAATCATAGATTCAGAGCTAGAAGGAACTTAGAAGCCATTCAGTCCAACCTTCTCACTTAAGAGATGAGGAATCAAAGCCCAAAGAGAAGTAGAAGAAACAGAATTCAAACTCAGATCCTCTGTTTCCAAATCCAGCACACTTTTCACTGTATACTAGTTGGAGAAGCAGAAGAATTAGAACCAAGTCTTGGCTCTAACACTAGCTATGTGACCTTAAGCAATTTACTTAAAATACTATTCCTTCATCTATAAAATGGTGATAATATTTATATTATCTGAGATAATATAAATATTAAGATTGTTGAGAGGTTGTTTCAAAACCCTAAAACATTACATTAATATGAAATAAAGCCAGAAAGCTACATGGAAGCCAGATGACGAAAGGCCTTGAACTCTAGCTAAAAGCCAATGGTTCCTAAGCTGGGGCCACAGTGTGTTTTTTTCTTTCTATACATAAGCAAACATAACTGCTGCAAAATGAATAAAAACTATCTCATACATAAATACAAGTTTTCAGTAATGCTACTGTGATATAGAAAATACCAATTCACTTTAAAATGTTACTAAAGTTATCCACTAATAAGCCCTACTTTGATGTTTTATCATGGTATGGAGGTTCCTCAGGGTTCTTAATGACTATGCTAGTTCAACATAAGCTGACAGTTCCTAACAAGCTGAAAAAAGTCCTACATCTACTTTCTGAGGATGTGAGAAAGCTTTTTGAGCCTAGCTAAATATGGAAGGGCTCATCACCAGTAAGTGTTGAGTGATGAATTATTTAGTCATGATAATCTATGAAACAAAGAAAAATATAAATGGTGCTTCTTTCTGTGCAGTCCCTTTTTATTTATGCAGCGATAGTGACAATGTCATGGAAGAGAATAGTGATAAGAAATCACAGCATTTAGACTGTCTATAAACTGACTCAGCTGTTGGTGCTATAAATGTGAGATTCTCTTCCAATCACCAATGAGTGGACATTGTACTGAAGAAATGAATTATCTTAATCTTGACATTCTCATTATACACAACACTAGAATTTACTGTAGCTGAACTAAAAGAAGGCTTATGGGTGGTTCTTTGAGTAGCAAATAAAGGAACTAGTAGTTTTATCAGGCTCCCAAAGGGAAGAAGTGAGAGAATAAGCACTTATTAAAACGTTATGTTCCAGGAACTGTGTTGAGTTCTTCACAAATGTTATCTCATTTGATTGCCCAAAGGCATTAAGAGACATATAATGGAACATATTTTGTATTGCCTTTCTCATGATAGGTATTTGCAAAAAGATATCCATAAAAACAATTGCAGATTATGTACCAACATCTCTTACAGTGGATGAAAAGGTAGAGAATTCTACAAAGAACTTGATAATTCCTCTCCTCCAATTATATCAACAAATACTTTGATATTTAATAACTTCAATGCAAAGGTGGAAATATGTGAAGATGAAGAGAAATACACTGGAAAACATGGTTCAGGAAAAAGGATTGAGAAGGGCAAAAGATAAGCCAACCACAAAGCCTTGTGCTTATATATTACTGATAATTTATTGAAGAAAAGAACTGGTAGGCAAAGGACATCGAAGAACAGAATAAAAATGTAACCGATTATGTTTTAACAGACAGGAAAATACTAATTACTGATGGGAGTAATGAAAACCACTGTCAATCTATTTAGACTTACTAGAACAAAGACAAAAATTAATAAAAACCTAATAGAATAAAAATGCACAGAGATGACAGATAATTGAAACAATTCAATCTTGACCTAGTCAAACAAATTATGCATAATGAGAAATGAGTAACCAATAGAGGAATGCAGACCATAATGGATTCATACAGAAATCCTAGACTCCGCCTTCTCCCTTACCCTGTATTTCCAATCAGTTGCCAAATCTTGCTGTTTCTACTTCTACAACATCTGAACTTGTCTCTATGCACATAGCTACCCCCTTTTTTTGGGCCTTACTACCTCTCACCTGGACCACTGAAACAGCCTCCTTCTTCATATCCTGGCCTTAAGTCTCTCCTCCCTCCAATTCATCCTCCACAGAGCTGCCAAAAGTGAAAAATCTGACTACGTCACTCCCTTATTCAGTAAATTCCAGTGGATCCCTATTGCCTAATAGGATAAATATAAACTCCTCTGTTTGGCTCTTAAAGCCCTTTAGGACCCAGTCTCAACTTGTCTTTGTAACCTCATTATATGTTACTCTTCTCACACTTTGCACTCCCGCTAAATTAGTCTTTTTCTATTCTTGTTACCGGGCCCTCCATCTCCTGTTTCCACGCTTTTGCACTGGCCTTTCCTCATGTTGGCAATGCATTCTTTTCTCACCCTGCCTCACAGAATGCTCTCTTCTTTCAGGATAGACCAAGTACCACCTTCTACACAAAGTCTTTTCTGATCTCATCAGCACCCCTTCCATACTTTTCCTTCCCTAACTGCTTTGTACACAACTACCTTCTATTTATTTGTGTGTGTATATATATACATATATATATATATATATATATATATATATTTTCATTCTGTATGTTTAAACAGTGTTGCTTTGCCCAATAAAATATAAGTTCCTTAAGGGCAAGGATTTTTCTTTGTATCCCCAGACCCTGCAGGTACCTAATAAATACTAGCTGACTGACTGATACAAATCAATTCTTATAACAGAAAGATTCAATAAGTTTAGAAAACAATTTAGTCAGCAAATGAGTCACACATTTTAGTCAAGTGGATAGCCCAAGTTACCACTAGTTCAGAATATAAACTCTTAACAGAGAGGAAGGGAAGATTATAAACAGGACCACATCAAAACATCAAAGCTATGGAGAATACAAACAGTTTTTTAAAAAAGCTTAGCAAGAGACTCAACTAAGCAAAGACATTCTAAGGATACTTAGAAATGAAAATGGGAGAACAACAAACATAAGAAAAATGGAAAAGATCTGCAAAGATTTTTATAAAGAAAACTTTTCATCATCAAGCCACTATACTTAAATTTTGCTAATAGAGAAAGAAAAGACATTAAAAAAACAAAGAGAGGGATGGAGCCAAGATGGTAAGAGTAAAAGCAGTGACTTGCTTGAGCAGACCCCTCCAAATACCTGTAAAAAATGGCTCTAAATAAATTCTAAAGCAGCAGAACCCACAAAAAAGACACAGTAAAACAAATCTACAGCCCAAGACAGCCTGGATGGTTGATCAGAAAGGTATATCGCACTGGGCTGGGAGAGGAGCGCAATTCAGCATGGGCACATAAGCAGAACAGGCCTCAGCAAACCTGGAGCAGACCTCAGAGGACTGAATCATGGGCAGCTGTGGCAGTTTCCAGACTTCTCAACCCACCGACACCAAAGACGACTTAGAAGGTGAGTGGGAAAAGTCTGTAACTGTGGTGAGAGAGAGAGAAGTGCGGTTCCAGTCCCAGTCCCAGCGCAGCCCCAGGGCAGCGGCTGCTTCCAGAGCTTCCTGCCCACAGACTGAGGAGGAATTGAGTGGCTGATCAGAGGACGACTGCAGGGATCTCTCTGCTGGTGCAGGATTCTCTTGCTTTTCCCCTGCTTGGATCTGGGTCACAGTTCTGGATGGCGGTCCTGGGGCGTGGAGGAGAGCTGGCGTGGTGGAGCTTGTAGTGGCAGTGGAAAGGAAATCCTCCTCACAGTTCCAAGGCAGAAAAGAGTGCTTGTGGTTACTCATAGACCAGAGCACAGTCCAGGAAAGGAGTAAACACCTCGCCCTTGATCATAGCACCTTGGAAGAATTGAAAATTTACAGGTCCCTACAAGTATCTCTGAAAACAGCTGCACAAAAAACCCCTGAAGCTTGGGACAGTACATTTTCCACACTGGAAGCAGAGCCCTACCTTAACACAGAGTTTAAAACTCAAGTAATTGGCTGGGATTATGAACAAACAAAGGCTCAAAAAGAGTCAGACCATAGAATCTTTCTTTGGTAACAAAGAAGATCAAAACATACAACCAGAAGAAGACCACAAAGCCAAAGCTCCTACATCCAAAGCCTCCAAGAAAAATATGAATCAATCCCAGGCCATGGAAGAGCTCAAAAAGGAGTTTGAGAAACAAGTAAGAGAAGTAGAGGAAAAACTGGGAAGAGAAATGAGAGTGATGCAAGAAAATCATGAAAAACAAGTCAACAGCTTGCTAAAGGAGACCCAAAAAAATACTGAAGAAAACATCACCTTAAAAAATAGCCTAACCCAAATGGCAAAAGAGATCCAAAAAGCCAATGAGGAGAAGCATGCCCTAAAAAGCAAACCTGGGCAAATGGAAAAGGAAGTCCAAAAGCTTATTGAAGAAAATACTTCCTTAAAAATTAGAATGGAGGGGCAGCTAGGTGGCACAGTGGATAGAGCACTGGCCCTGGATTCAGAAGGACCTGAGTTCAAATACGGCTTCAGACTAAACACTTGACACTTACTAGCTGTGTGGCCCTGGGCAAGTCACTTAACCCCAATTGCCTTAAAAAAAAAAAATTAGAATGGAGCAGACAACCCTGGCACTAGTCCCTAGCACTCTGTCCAGTTCTATAAATTATCCCCACGGTCATTTATTTGGTATAGCATTAAAATTATAATTATAATTAATTCTGGTAGTATTGTCATTTTTATTATATTGACTTGGCCTAGTCATTAGCACTGAATATTTCTCCAGCTATTTAAGTTCTTTATTTCTTTAAGGAGCACTCTGTAATTAAATCTATGCAAGTCTTCTGTGTACTTTGAGCAGGTTGATCCCTAGATATTTTATACATTTCATAGTTATCTGGAATTGGATTTTCCCTTCTGTCATTGTTTCTTATGTTTTGTTGTTATATAAAATGCTGCTGATTTTTGAGGATTTTGTAGCCTGCAGCTTTGCTAAAGTTATTGTTTTAGTATCTTTACAGATTTCCTAGGATTTTCCAAGTATCATATTATCATATCATATCATATCATCAGCAAATAGGGATAGTTTAATCTCCTATTTACGTATTTATTTATGCCTTTTAATTTCTTTCTCTTGTCTTATTGCTGCTGTTGCTAGCAATTACAGAACTATATCAAATAATAGTGGAGATAGCGGGCATCCTTGCTTCACTGTCATACATTTATTGGAAAAGGTTCTGGTGTATTCCCATTGAATATGATACTTGCTTTTGGTTTTAGATACTTCTTGTGATATTTTAAAAAAAGTCCCTATATTTCTGTACTTCGTAGAGTTTTTAGCATAAAAGAGTGTAACGTTTTGTCAGAGTTTTTTCCGTATCTATTAAGATGATCATGTGGTTTTGGATGTTTTGGTTTTTAATAGATTAATTATGTTACCAAAATTCATTTGGAAAAACTAAAGATCTAGAATGTCAAGAAAAATGATGAAAAGAAGTAGGAAGAACAGAGAATAGCACTTCCACACTTCAAACTATATTATAAAGCATCAGTCATCAAAACCATCTGGTATTAGTTAAAAAAATAAGACACAGATCAATGGAACACATTGGACAAAGGAGAATCAGAAACAACAGAATTCAATAACCCAGTGTTTGAGAAAGTGGAAAACATAAATTCTGTAGTAAACAAACTCCTTATTTGACTAAAAAAAAAAAAACCAAAAACAAACAAAACCCTGGGAAAATTGGAAAGCAGTTTGGCAGAAATTAGGCTAGGACAACAACACCTTAAACCATATTCCACAATACATTCTAAATATTAAAGACCAGACTATAAAAAAGTTGAAAGAGAAACAAATTATATCTCTCAAAGCTATGAGTAAGAGATATATTCTCAAGAGATAAAAGCAATCACAGAAAATAAAATAGATAGATTTGATTACTTGAAACTGAAAAGCTTCTGCAGAGACAAAAGTAATATACTTAGGATAAAAGGAGAAGTGGTTGAATGTAAAAAAAAATCTTTGTATCAAGTTTTTCTGGTAAGGATTGGTATCCAAGAGACAGACAGACAGACTGACAGACAGACATAGACAGACACACACACACACAGACGGTCAAAGGATATGAACAAATAGTTCTCAAAAGAAGAATTTCCAAATTTTAAAAATCACATGAAAGAATGTTCCAAACCACTAATAAGACAAATGTCAATCAAAACAACCCTGAGATTTCATCTCGTACCCTATAAACTGACAAAAAATATCAACAGTCAACAATGGAAGGGTTGTAGAAGAAAGACACACTAAGAGACTGTTGGTGGGCTCCTCCCTTCCTGACATCTACTCTTCAATCCAGTGACACAGGTTCCCTAGCTGCTCCATAAACAAGACACGCCATCTCTTTGTACCAGGCATTCCTGCCTGTCCCCCATTCGTGGAATGCTCTTCCTCTTTGGCTTCCTTTAAGTCCCAACTAAAATTTCACCTTTTATTGGAAGTCTTCCCAATTCCTCTTAATTCCAGTGCCTTCCCTCTGTTAATTATTTCTTATTTGTCCCATTGTGTAGCTTGCTTTGTGTATTATTTGTTTGCACATTGTTTTTGCAGTTGGATTGTAAGCACCTTGAGACAGTCTTTTGCCACTTTTTACACCCAGTACCTGGCACATAACAGATTGTTAAAAAATGTTTACTAAATGACTGGTAGAGCTGTGAAACAATACAGCCATTTTGGAAAGCAATTTGGAATTATGCAAACAAATTGACTAAAATGTCCATATCCTTTGAGCCAGAGATTCCATTACTGGGCTTATATTCCAAGGAAGTCACTGATGAGAAGAAAGCCTCAATTTACTCCAAGATATTTATAGCAGTGTTTTTGTGATAGCTAAGAATTGGAAACAAAGTTGATGCCCTTCAACTGGGAAATGGCTAAACAAATTGTGGTACATAAATGTAATGGAGTATTACTGTGCTGTAAGAAATGATGAATGTGATGAAAACAGAGAAGCATGGATAAGATCTTCATGAAATGAAGCAAAGTGAACTAAGTAGAGTTAAGAAAACAATATATATAGTAACTATAATAACATTAATGGAAAAAACAATTAACACTAAAAAATCAGAAGCAAATTTAACAAAATCATAAAAATTCTGAAGCAGGACTCAAAGGAAGAGATATGAGAGGATACCTCCAAAACCTGGTTCAACCATCCCCTCCCCTCCATGGCGTTACATATTGCAGATGTTTTCAGACTTTTTAAATGTATTTTTAATCAGTTGTGTTGATTTTTTCTTCTTCTCCAAAGATACTATTTGTAATATGGAATGGCTCTCTGGGAGGGGAAAGGAAAGGACACTTGAGATAACTATGATGATGTAAGAAAAGGAAAATATCAATTAAAACTTACTTAAAAAATAAAAATAAAAGGAATGATATAATTGCCTTTTGGGTATAAGTAAGAAGAAAAGATCCTTACTCCACTGAATCAAACAGTTTCAGTTTGTAGGTTTTTTTCTTTTTAACTCTTAAGATAACAAGGGAGTAACTAAAATTCTCACTAGAGATGTGCATTTCATTGAATTTAAAGCAATCTGAAGTGCAAAATGAAGGAACTAAATGAGTTTGGCAATTCACATCAAGATAAAAAATTATATCCTGGGACATGCAATCCCTGTAGGATGCTTCTCTATATTTTAAGGTGACGGTAACTAAGTCCTGTTCCATTTTATGCAAAATTAGATTCAGCCTGCAGCAAGTGGAAAGTTGCCAATGCAGTCCTAGGCAAAGTTGTCATGCCCTTGAACAATGGCAGCATTTACCTGACTTCCTATAACTTTTAAGACAGGAACTTAACATTTTTAAGAAGTTATTAAAAAAAATCAGAATCTTCCTTACCCAGGTGAAGCAAGTCGACGTCCCTGTCCCAGACGCAGAGCTTCTCCAAGAGGAGAATTTTCAAGCCGTTTAAACTTCTCTTGGCAGGTTTTCACATAGGAAATTTTTCCAGCAAAGTATCCCATTACACAAGCAACTTAATTATAAAGAAACAAATTTGACTCACAACGTGCCTATTGGCCAAAACCTTTTTTCAAAATAAATAAATAAAATAATAAACACGTTTTAAAATAGACTGTAGTTCTAATTATGCCTTTCGTTCAGAAAGGAATATGAAGTCCTAAGAAGTAATTCTGCAGGCAATGCAGTGAATAAGCTTGACATGTTTTTGTATCTCAGACCCAAAGATGTGATCAAAGAAAATGAACATAACTGAGATTTTTAAAAGGGTTTTGGTCTTAGTTCTACTATTTATAGTTCTACTATTTATCAGCTATATGATCTTGGAGAAGTCATTTAAGTCAATCATCTCACTTTATTCATATATAAAATGTGAATGATGATGATGATAGTAAAATCAAACCTATCTTAATTGTTGTGAAGATCAGTAAGATAACACATGTAAAAAAAGTTTAAGAAAAACAAAACTGTAAAGTACTATACGAAGGCAAAATATTTATACTTTCCACATTTTTATTATGATAAAGTCCACTTAGTACATCTATATAAAATATCTGAGTCTTCAAGTATAATTAGATTAATTCTTATAAGAAATTACCAAACATATTGCACTATGGATATGTTGTTTTTCTCTTCATTACATTTAAAGATTTGGTGCTAACTAAATAGTTTTGGTTCATACTATGTAAGTCGACCAAATTTTCTCATAGGAGAACATTTCATGAAAGGAATTATTTTATGGATTAAAATGACAACAAATTTGATAATGTTTAAAATTTCACTCAGAAGAAAATGATGCATATTTTTAGAGAATAAGACCCAAACAAAATTACCACCAATGATTGTTTTATACTTACATACAAGTTTAGGGACAGAACCGTATTTAGGGTGACTGGAAAGAATTCCTAAAAAATAAATGTAACTTCTCAGTAAATAACATCCAGTTTTTGAGGGGTAGGAAGGAAGATATACATTTACATAAATTATATGATGTTTAAAAGGTTTTACTTTAATTGTAAGGATTTAAACCAGGATTATACAGAATGCACTACGTAAGAAAATTTAATAATAAAGTTACAAAATTTTATCAAAACTTATCTTTAAAATGAAATACGTAACTTTACATATTAGTAGAAAGCAAGAAATTGTTTTGAGCAGTATAAAGCCCCCTGAAAAACTGGTACTGATAAAAATTTAAGCAAATTAGACTTGTTTTGAACAAGAAGAATTTTTAAAAGGCAAAATATAAAGTTTAACAGACATTTATCTCCCTCAACATACTTTAAAGATTAGAAAAAGTCCAAGGAAAAAACCTCCAAAAGTTCTAAACTGGTCACTGACAGGAGACCAGCATTAGGATCATAGCAGCTGCTTTTCAATGCACCTGTAGGCTCTTGATCTCTTCATGAAAATTCATTCCTTCTACTCACTCCTAGTCCAACTCTAACAGAAGACTCTCTTCATGTCGGAAACACACTGTCTAGATCCCAAATAAATGATCAGTTTCCGTCTCCACCAAACTATCTGTACACCAACAACCTTCCTACTTTCTAGCACTTCTAAATACTCCTTCAAACATCATAGCTCAATCAATGTAATCAATCAATCATTCCCACAGCTGCTGAAGAAAAAGCAACATCAATACACCTCTTCACCTCCAGTCCTGATGTCATTTAGGCCTGATGTCATCACTAGATATTTTCTAGGTATGAGTGCTGGATCTTTGAGACGCAAAATATTTATTGTTAATGACAATTATGATGATTATGGGAGAGCCCCTTAAAGCAGAAGCCCTGAGTTCTAGTTCTAGTTTTGCCACTAACTCTGAAGTTACTAAACTCAATTCAACCAATATTTATTAAGCACTTACTGTATGCCAGAGCCTGTGCTAGGCAATGCAGATATCAAGAAAAATGAAAAAAACTGCAATCTTATTGTTCTGAGAATATATAACATATATACAAATAAATAAAAGTAATTTGAGAAGGGAGAGTCTACTAACAACTAAAAGGATTAAGAAAAACTCTGCTTAGGCAGGAGTACCTAAGTTGAGCCCCCACACTTTATACTCAAAAGGCCCACAGAGGCAAAATGACTTATCTTGCATCAAAAAGCTAGTAGTGGCAGGGCCTGCCCTAGAGCCTCTCAATCCACTGCTCCTTTAACTAGACTACTTTACCTCTCTCCAATTAGTTGTCTGCATCTTGAGGAAAGGGTCTGTTAACCCAAATGAACTTGTATTTGGTCGGACAGGAGATATCCTTGAACAGGGAGGACTTCTAAATGTTTTTTGCCTCTTCCTTTTCAAGCAATAAATAGTTCAACAAACATTGATTAAGTCCTTATGTGCCAGATATTGTGCTACTCTCTGAAAACACAATTCCTTCTCTCAAGGAACTTATAATCTGGAGAGAATTATGTACATCTATAAGTACATACAGGATAAATACAAAATAAAAACAAGTTAGTTAAGAAGGAAGGGCACTAGCAGCTGGGATAAGGAAAACTTGTGTACAGAAGGTGGTGCTTGAGCTGCAGAGGTGGGAAAGGACTGCATTCCAGGCATAACTAATAGCACATACAAAGGCATGGAACCAGGATTTGGAAGGCCCCATGTAAAGAACAGAGATAAAGCCAATTTTGCTGGAATGCAAAGTGTGAGAATAAGAGTAATGTGTAATAAGGTTGGAATCAGGTTGGAAAGGACTTTAAAAACCAAACACTCATCTTTCAAGAAATTATCAAGGAAAACTGCCCTGATATTTTAGAACCAGAGGGCAAAATAGAAATTGAAAGAATCCACCGATCTCCTCCTGAAAGAGATCCCCAAAGGAAAACTCCTAGGAATATTGTAGCCAAATTCCAGAGTTCCCAGGTCAAGGAGAAAATATTACAAGCATCCAGAAAGAAACAATTCAGGTATTGTGGAAACACAATCAGGATAACACAAGATTTAGCTGCTTCTACATTAAGGGACCGCAGGGCATGGAATATAATATTCCGGAGGCAAAGGAGATAGGATTACAACCAAGAATCATCTACCCAGCAAAACCGAGTATAATCCTGCAGGGGAAAAAATGGTCATTCAGTGAAATAGAGGACTTTCAAGCATTCTTGATGAAAAGACCAGAGCTGAATAAAAAATCTGATTTTCAAATACAAGACTCAAGTGGAACATGAAGAGGTAAACAGGAAAGAGAAAATCATAAGAGACTTATTATGGTTGAACTGTTTACATTCCTGCATGGAAAGATGATATTTGTAACCCATGAGACCTTTATCAGTATTAGGGTAGTTGGAGGGGAAAAAATTATATGTAAGTATATATAGATATAGATAAATAGATAGAGGGCACAGGGTGAGTTGAAAATGAAGGGGTCATATCTGGAGAATAAAATTAAGGGGTGAGAGAGGATTATACTAGGAGAAGGAGAAAGTAAGAGGTAGAACAGGGTAAATTATCTCACAAAAAAAAAACAGAAAAGAAAAGGCTCTTACAGTGGAGGGGAAATGGGGGAAGGCGAGAGGGAATAAGTGAATCTCATTCTCATAGAATTTGACTTAAGGAGGGAATAACATACACACTCAATTGGGTGTGGAAATCTGTCTTACCTTACAGGAAAATGGGGGGGAAGGGGACAAGAGAGCAGGAGAATGATAGAGAGGAGGGAAGACTGGGAAAGGGAGTAATCAGAAGCAAATACTTCTGAGGAGGGACAGGGTCAAAAGGAAGAATAGAATAAATGGATGGGTGGGATAAGATTAAGGGAAATAGAGTTAGTTTTTCACAGCATGTCTACTATGGAAGTGTTTTGCATAACTGCACATGTATAACCTATATTGAGTTGCTTGCCTTATCAATGAGGGTGGGTAGGGAGGGAGGAAGGGAGAAAATTTGGAACCCAAAGTTTTAAAAACACATGTTTAAAAAAATGTTTTCACAGGCAACTGGGAAATAAGAAACACAGGAAATGGGGTACAGAAATACATCGTGCCCTACAGGAAAACTGAAGGGGAAGGGGATAAGAGAAGGAAGGGAGAGACAGAAGGGAAGGCAGACTAGGGGAAGGGGTATTTAGAATGCATGCCATCTTGGGGTAGGGGGAGGGGCGAGATGGGGTGAAAATTTGGAACTCAAAATCTTGTGGAAGTAAATGTTGAAAACAAAAAAAAATAAAATTGCCATAATAAAAAAAAAACAACAAAGAAACAACAAAAAACAAAACAAAAAAACCAAACACAGTCCCTAGCACATTGTAGAGTTCTAGAGCAGGATTCAAGAGTCAGGAAGACTTCAATCTGTCTGGCAAGTCACTATAAAATGGGGACAATAGTAGTTCCCACTTCATCATATTTTTGTGAAGATCAAATAAAGTAACATAAGGGGAAGAGAACAGTCATTTGTATTGTGCCAGGTACTGTGCTAAGTGCTTTTAAAAACATTATCTCATTTGATCCTCACAACAATTCTGTGAAGTAGTCGCTGTTAGTAGGTTAAGTGACTTGCTCAAAAATGCCCGAGGCTAAATTTAAACCCAGGTCTTCCCAACTCCATGCCCGATGTTTTATCCAATGTGCCATCAGGTACCTATACAGAATACTGCAAACCTTAAATCAATACATAAATACCGAGGAGGAGGAGAAAAGCAGTATTTCAAAAACCCAGAAAGAGGCAGTCAACATTATTTAAACCAGTGCTTAGCACAACGCATGGCACATAGTAAGTGCTTAAAGAATGCTTTATCTAACAGAATTAAGTGCAGCAGAAGGTTAAGAAGGATGAGGACTGATAAAAGATCATGAGATTTGGCAATCACAGGTTACTAGTAACTTGAGAAAGAGCAGTTTTAGTTAAGCAATAAAATTGTTAAGCCAGCTTCCAAAGTGCTGAGAAGTAAAGGAGCACAGAGAAAGGGAGAAAAGAGAGAGGAAAACAATTTGAGGGGAAATCAGGGTCTAGTGAAAGAACAAAGCTGAAGGAAAGTGAGAGGATAAAAGGCACATGGAGATGGGATAACTTTGGTAACCAGGTACCTTCCCCTTGCCTAGCAGGCCTGGGAATAAAATTAATTGAATCATAATGGCAACTAGGAAACCACAAATACTCCATAAATCTCACTCTTCAGAAAAGCCTTTTGCCTTCTCTAAGTCTCAGGGCCATCATCTGTAAAACAAGGCTAATATTTTTATTCCCTACTTCATAGGACCATTATGAGGAAAATGCTTTGCAAATCTTAGACTCGCAAGATTTAGACACAGAAAAGCATATAAAAAGTCATGTAATTCAACTCTATCTTTTATAGCTGAGGAAACTAAGGTCTAGTGGGAAGTGACTTACTCAAGGACACACGACTAAAAAAAGTCATATAAATAAGAGCTATTATATTAACAACTGCCCTTATATAGGTATCTGTATTAAATGCTAAGCTGTTAATTTGCTCACTCAAGCTCCAAAGCTTATTTAGGGTCTCACTTACTGAACAAAATAAATTTCTTTTACCTTATATTTTTACACTACATAACACCACCAGGTCCAGCATTTATTAATAGTTTCTCGCCTCTGAAAATAAGTTTTCTTGCAGAAGGAAGACCACAGAGAAGCACAAACAGGGTAGCTTTGAAAGTATGAACTTCAATTATAACCTCTAAAAGAAAGGGCAGCAGTACATAAGAGACCTGAAGTTTTCTGTATAATCCCCCTTTTCTGTTCTATTATGTATATGAAAATACTAATTTTATTTGGTTTAAAGTCAGAAAAAAATAAACCAAAAAAAGAGAGAAGAAAATACTTCTGTTGCTATTGTATAAATGGAAATCAGAATGTAAGTTTTTTACTATGTTGGAAATACAAAGCTGGAATTTATCAAGACCTTAATCAATCTCTTTGTACTTAAAAATTAAGAAAGTATTCAATAGGGGCACCTCTCTACTGATATCCAAAAGAGAAGGGTGACTCAATAACTAAGATTAACTTAATGACATTTTTTAAGGAAGGGAATACACATTTATATAGTGCCTACTACATGCCAGGCACTGAGTTAAGTGCTTTTTACATTTGATCCTCACAACAACCCTGTGAAGTAGGTGCTTTTATTATCCCCAATTTACAGTTGAGAAAACTATGAGAAATATTCAATGATTTACCCAGAGTCACACAGTGAGTACATTTCTGAGGTCAGGTTTGAACACAGATCACCCTGATTCTAGGCCCAGGGCTTTATCCATTGTACTATCTAGCTGTCTTATTTCAATATCATGAACAAAAATGCTGCCAACTTTGCAGTGCTTAAATTAAAGAGTTTTAGAGAAAAATTATTATGGTCATATAATAACAAAGGCAAATAACATATTAAAAATTAAAATTCATCTTAGTTATTGACTTGCTCATATTAATCTTAATAAAAATAAATCAAAGTTGCATGTTATCAGATATACCCACTGCAATGAATGTTCAATCTAATAAAGGGCTGGGAAAAGAGGGGAATGTCTTTGCACAAATGAATGATGCAAAAACAAAAAGGCATTCATAAATTTTTTTTAAAATTAAGAATAAATCCAAATATTCAATACTTACCTTTAGCAATTAATCCCTGAGTAACTAACATACTTGTTGCAGAAAAGGGAACAGCTGCAGGGGAGGAAAGAACAATTTGTCACAACAAAAGAAGTTGCAAAGATTTTTATTCTTAGGAAGGTTAATTTAAAAAGTTAGTATGAGTTAAAATGATTAACTTTTAAACCTTTTCAAAAAGAGTGAAATGAATAGAACTAGAATTCAATAACAACAACATAGTAAAGACAAACAACTTGGAAAGACTTTACAAACTTCCCTCCCACTTAACAGTATTTTACTTTTTTCCAATTACGTGTAGTTTTCAACATTCATTTTTATAAGTTTTTGAGTTCCAAATTTTTCTCCCTCCCTCCCCTCTCCAATACAGCAAGCGATCTGATATAGGTTATACACACATAATCATGTTAAACACATTTCCACATTGTTCATGTTGTGAAAGAATCAGAACAAAAGGGAAAAACAGAAAACAGAAAACAAAACAAAAAAAAAAGTGAAAACGGTATGTTTCAATCTGCATTCAGACTCCAAAGTTCTTTCTCTGCATGTGGATAGCATTTTTCCACCATGAGTCTTTTGGAATTATCCTGGATCATTTTGTTGCTGAGAAGAGCTGAGTCATTCATAGTTGATCATCACACAATGTTGCTGTTACTGTGGATTACAATGTTCTCCTGATTCTGCTCACTTTACTCAGAATAAGTTCATCTAAGTCTTTCTAGGTTTTTCTGAAGTCCTGCTGCTCATCATTTCTTATAGCACAATTGTACTCCATTACATTCACATACCACAACTTGTTCAGCCATTCCCCAATTGATGGGCATTCCCTCGATTTCCAATTCTTGGCCACTACAAAAACAGCTGCTATAAATATTTTTGTCCATGTGGGTCCTTTTCCCTTTTTTATGATCTCTTTGGGATACAGACCTAGTAGTGGGATTGCTGGATCAAAAGGTATACAGTTTTATAGTCCTTTGGGCATAACTCCAAACTGCTCTCCAGAATGGTTGGATCACCACCAACAATGCATTAGTGTTCCGATTTTCCCATACCTCCAACATTTATCATTTTTCTTTTTTGTTCTTATTAACATAGGTGGTACCTCAGAGTTTGCATTTCTCTAATCAATAGAGATTTAGAGCACTTTTTCATATGACTATAGATAGGTTTAATTTCTTCATCTGAAAACTGTTCATATCCTTTGACCATTTATCAATTGGGGAATGACTTGTACTCTTACAAATTTAAATCGGTTCTCTATATATTTGAGAAATGAGGCCTTTACCAGAAACACTGGCTGTAAAAATTGTTTCCCAGCTTTCTGCTTGTCTTCTAATCTTGGTTGCACTGGTTTTGTTTGTTCAAAAACATTTCTTAATTTAATACAATCAAAATTATCCATTTTGCATTTGATAATGCTCTCTACCTCTTGTTTGGTCATAAATTCTTCCCTTATCCATAGATGTGACAAGTAAACTATTCCTTGCTCTCCTAATCTGCTTATGGTATCACCTTTTATGTCTAAATCATGTACCCATTTTGACCTTATCTTGATATAGAGTGAGATGTTGGTCTATGCCCAGTTTCTGCCATACTATTTTCCAGTTTTCCCAGCAGTTTTTGTCAAATAGCAAGTTAGAAGCTGGAGTCTGTGGATTTATCAAATAGTAGATTACTACAGTCACTGACTACTGTGTCTTGTGTATCTAACCTATTCCACTGATCCACCACTTTATTTCTTAGCCAGTACCAAAGAGTTTTGATGATTGCCGCTTTATAATATAATTTTAGATCTGGTACAGGTAGCCACCTTCCTTTGCATTTTTTCCTATTAATTCCCTTGATAATCCTGACCTTTTGTTCTTCCAGATGATTTTTGTTAGTTTTCTAGCTCTATAAAATAATTTTTTGATAGTCTGGAATGGCACTGAATAAGTAAATTAATTTGGGTACATACACACTGTAATTTTTATTATATTAGCTCTGCCTACCCATGAGCAACTGATATTTTTCCAATTGTTTAGATATGACTTTATTTGTGTGAAGTGTTTTGTAATCATGTTCATATAGTTCCTGGGTTTGTCTTGGTAGCTAGACTCTCAAATATTTTATACTGTCTACAATTATTTTAAATGGAATTTCTCTATCTTACAAACTTTGATCAATATGATAACCAACCATGATTCTAGAGATAATGAACAATCCCCACCTCCTGAAAGAGGTGACAGACTGAAGAAAGATTACAATTGTGAACATGGATAACATAGGAATTTCTTTTGCTTAATCATGTATATTAATAATAATCAGCAAGTTATAGACTTAGCATTGGGCACAGAGCGGTTAAGGAACCTCTGAAGGAGGGATGCTGATCTGCACTGATAGAAACAGTCTCTTTAAGAGCTCTTAACATCAATGAAATCATTGGTGCAAACAGCAACAAAACATATATAGTGTACATGCTATCTATATGTGGGCATGTACCTATATCAATATACTTTATATACTACTTTACTGAATGCTACTTTATAGGAACACTTATTAATAATATCAGTAAGTTAAAGCAAACTGAAAAAAACTTTGGGTATATTGTCAGATTAAAACTCTTTCTTTTAAGAGTAACTTTTTTGAGTATCAGACATACAGAAAATTGGGGGGGGGGGAGTTCAATGAATTTCTAATGAATACGATGAAATTACAGAGCTCAATTGGATATTTATATCTTCAACATCCCCCCCCAAAATGTCACCCAATATTCTGAAACCGTAAGCCTTTTAATGACAAGAAACATACTATCTTAAAAAAAAATTTTAATGAACAAAAATTGTTTCACTTTCATCTAACCCAATCCTTACCAATAAAAAAAGAAAAAGAAAACTTCTGTGACAAAAACTCCTGGTCAAACAGAACAAATTCCTGAAGTAGCCATGTCCAAAAAACACATCTCATTCTGCACCAAGTCCATCACCTCTCTGTAAGGAAGAGGACAGGGTACTTCATCATTGATCCTCTGGAATCACGGCTGAATGTATTACCTTCTGAAATACTCACTGTGTTTGGGGACATCTCTAATTTTAAAGAAGTTTTTCCCTATGCTGAACAAAAACTTAATCCTCTATAGTAACCACCCAGTGGCCAGGGACATTCTGGGATCAAGCAAAATGAGTCTAATAATTCTTCCACATGATAACCCATAAAAACATAAGATAGCATATCTTATCTTCTCCATGCTAAACAGCCTCAGTTCCTTATTGATTTTCAGCTTGAGGAAGATTTTACAATTTTACAACCCCATAAACTTGTTTTTTCCCTTGGTTTATTTTACTATTCATTCTAAAAAAAAAACAAACACCATTTTATGGATTAAAACTTACATTCCCCCAGAAGTAAGTAGATCCTAAAGTCAGAGTGTATGAGTATGTGAGTGAGTGAGTGTGAGTGTGTGTGTGTGTGTGTGTGTGTGTGTGTGTGTGTGTGTAAAAAGAGAGAGTATGGATATGATCATAGATTTAGAATTAGAAGGGATCTTAGAGACTGTCTGGTCAAAGCTCTCTCATTATACAGATAAGGGGAACTGGGATACACCTGTTCAAAGACAGAAGTGCATCATGATGGACAGTGAGTTGGCCTCATAGACAAAAAGACCTGGGCTCAAATCCCACATCTGACATAGACTAGCAGTGTGACCCTGGGCAAGTCACACATAGAGATGGGGTGGGTGGGTGGGCTGTGTGTGTGTGTGTGTGTGTGTGTGTGTGTGTGTGTGTGTGTGTGTACAAATGGTCCTCCTCATCTTTATTTGAAGACTCAGCTAATTAATAAGTGTAGGTCAATGTATAACCAGGAGCCCCCTTCTCAATCTTTATGCATAAAAAGGCTCTTTTTAAATGCTGAAAATGATCCATTCTCACCATTTAATGTACAAGTTATCAACAATGTACAGGTTACATTATCAATCAAGCATTTACTAAGCACTTACTATTATGCACTAGAGACAGATAAAAGTGAAAGCCCCTGCCCTCAAGAAACTTACATTCTAAAGGAGGATATAACATATAAATATATATACATAACACAGTATACACAAAATGAAGACAATTAATTTGAGGAGAGGATGCACTACCAACTGGGGGTGTGTATAAGGAAGAAGGTATAAAGAAGAAACAGAGAAACCAGGCAAAGTTTCATGAAGAAGTTGGCGCTGAGTTGCATCTTGAAGGAAACCAGGGATTCCAAGATGTAGGTAAGGGAGGAATGCATTCTAGGGATGGGGAAGACTAGTTTAAAGGATTAGAGAAGTATGTGTGGAAGGTCAAAATGGCTAGACTGTAGAGGGTACAGAGTGCAGTAATGTGTAAGATGACTGGAAAAACAGGAAGCGGTAGATTATGAAGAAATCTTTTTACCCATACGGATGATATCCTTTATACCACTTCTTGTAGTCCTTGTTTTTAAAGTGATATAGCCTTCTTATGTCACTCTCTATTAGCCTCTAGTTGATCCTCAATTTCAATTCTGACATTTTGTTCCATGACTCACTGATACTTTTAAAATGGGCTTTTGATAAAAGGATCTTTTAAAAATATGATTTTAAAATATATGTATCTAAAACCAAAAGTTGCCACTATATGCAATGAGGGAAATACTAGAAGCATTCCCAATAAATACAGTAAAGGACTATCTTTTTAGCTGATGGTATTTGACATAGTTCAAGAAATAAGCTAGCAACAGCATAAAGAGATAGAAATTAAGGCAAGATGGGCAGAAAGGACACAAAACTATTCCTATCTGCTGACATGACAGATTACTTAGAAAACCCAAGAGAACCAGTGAAGAAACTAATGGGAACTTTTCAATAGCTTCAGTAATGTAACAGGATACAAAATAAGCCCACAAAAATCAACATTTCTATATAACAATAACAAATTACAGGAGGAAATAGTGAAAAGGGAAGTTGCATTCAAAATAAATTAAAAATGCACAAAATATCTAGGAGTCAGTCCACCAAGGAACTGTCAAGACCAGTATAGACAGAATTATGAATTATTCTCTGAAGAAAT